CCCGCTTATAAAGCGTTTACGACCTCTCAGCCAGTATCAAACTAATCCTACAGTATATTACAACTCCATTGAATCTGTTATTTTTGCGTCTAGATGCAATCGTAAAAAGGGCATAAAACCTTCTCATATTATTGGTAGCAAGTTCATCGCACGCATTATTGTGTGGTAAACGGTGAGCAGAATGCTTTTCTTACTTTATTACATTTAAATCCGTAATAAAAAAATAAAATAAAAAAAAAATTAGCTTACTTTTTTTTAGAACGGGAGCATCGATGTTTAAAAATGGAACATAGATAAATATGAAATCGCGTTCCACGATAAAGTAAACTCGTGAAGCAATTTTTCTAGATTCTTTTTTCAAACCAAAGTGTGTACTTCCGTATTTTGTTGATTTGTTACATTTGGAAAAAAATGTTCAATTTAAAAATAAACATACCTGCCTAAAAACATATTTCAAAAAAAAATTACGTCTAAAAGGAATAAACCCACTATATTATGACAGCTAACAGCTAAATACGTATTTACAACCCAATTGTTCGGCAACGCATTTAGATTTCATGGCAACTGAGCGAGTGGCGCGATTGATAGATGTAGGCCGTTTGTATGTGATTGATCAATAGAACAACAGCGGTGATTTGTATTGTTATCCACTATCTGTCGCTAATCAATATACCAATACTGTTCGGGTGAAGAAGGGCGCCCTCTGGTGTGAATTGTTTTTAAGCCATTTTCGTAAGTAATACTAATTGTATCCCACAGCTCTTCCCGTATTGGTCATAAAATATACTCTATAATATATGCCTAATAAAAAATATCATGTATATTAAATAAATCAGTCGTAAGAGTGTCGTGTGGTCCCGGCATAGAACGGACCACCCATTCCTTTCCCGTGGGTGTCATAAGAGACGACTATGGAACTTAATGATCGAGGTTGACAGAGCGTCCTTCTTATCACCAAAACCTAACTATGATTGCCAGGGGGGAAAGAAATTGTTAGCAATGGGGTTTGACAGTCCCATTGCTAGCAATATGCGTTATTAGGTCGTGGTCCCCCCTGGAAACCATAGTGAACATTTCTTGTTGAATTCATCACGATGGGCTAACTGACCTGCTTCATCCTCACCTATCATCCTTCACTGGAGCCCCGCCGGTGTATCCCGTTAGCACAGGCGGAGTTAGCATTCCATTTTCACCCATCAAAAAAAAACTGCGGTTGCCACCCACGCATAAGCAAGCTTGCCTGCCAAGCATAGCAACTACTGGCAACCCCCCCCCCCCCTTATGGAGTAGGCCTATTTTCATCGGTAGACAGTTTGGTATAATATGACGAAATAAGTCGGTATTTTGTTAAATGATCCATGTTTGCTTGTGGAAATGATTAAGAACACAAAATTAAACGAAGTTCGAATTCTGGTTGCGCGCGTTGGAATGCAAACGCGCAACGCCGCCGCACATTATCAGTGTACGAATGCTAATGACATATGAAGCTGTCCACTAGTTTGATGATTCATCATTACCACACGTCATTTCCTTACTTACCCGTGAAGCAGTCAATAGTAATAATAATTCTTTATTTGGAACAAAAACATTTAAACAAACATTCTCCAGAGGGAGACTTTGTACAAAAGTCGATTGCTTGCGTACCTCTGACCCATTCGTGTATCAACCGTAAAGCAATTGTGTTTGCATGGCTGTGTTTCGGTTTAAAGGTGGTGCCCCGCTAGCGTATACCGTTAGCACAGGCGGGGTTACCATTCCATTATCATCCATTAAAAAAAAAACAAGTCAACTTCCACCTCCTGAAAACCATCGTGCTACATTCTAGGTCTATTTATCGCGATAGGCTAACTGATCTGTTTTCATTTTCACCTGTCATCCCTCACTGGTGCCCCGCCGGTGTATACCGATAGCGCGGGCGGGGTTACCATTCCATTATCATCCATTAAAAAAAAGGTAGTTTTCATATGTATAATGAATGATAAATAAAAAATGAAACAGCAGTTATTTTAATATTTTAATTATACATAATAATAATAAATTATTAATTTATATTTTAACACACAATTGAATCTCGTATAAACAATACACACGCATGTTACACGCGCTTTTAATATGTTTATATATATATATATATATATATATATATATATATATATATATATATATATATATATATATATATATATATATATATATATAATGTTATAGTCATTTAAATATTTCCATAATACGTAAATCACCTATCGAGTATGATTTATGGTGAATTAATTTTAACCATAATATTTCCATTATTAGATACGTAATATATGTAGGAACGCCATTCATAATGGAATAATACTTTGCAGTTATTTCTATACATATATCTATATCGTTTGCTTGGGTACCTTTGTCCCATTCGTGTTTCAACCGTGAAGCAGTTGTGTTTGCATGGCTGTGTTTCAGTTTGAAGGGTGGGATATGGCGTGAATTTACAGGGTACAAAGGAATAACACCTGAGTCCTCAGGAATGGCAACGCATGGGGGGTATCATGGTCGAAACAGTATACTCTGTTATGTCCATGGTACTGCTCATGTCTATAGGCGACGATTACGTTTTATATCTCTATATGTATTAAAAAAAAGAACAGAGTCAATTACCTCCGGTCAAACTGTTTATAATTACTCCTCTCCATCCAAAGGTTGCCTGGAAGAGATCGCTCTTAGCGATAAGGCCGCCCATTGTTTTCTCACTGTGATCTTTTCTTGTAATTGTTTGTATTTGTGTTACAATTACTATTGTAATCTTTTGAAAAAAAAAAACAATAAAGAGTATCTTTCTATCTTATTTATTTTTTCTGTGGTAATGCTCTTTTAGAAATGACGTATTGTACTACTGCTATTATTCACTCTGTGATATTCCGAGGTATTTCCAAATATTCAACAATCTAATTACAAAACACATCTGATAGATTTATCAATACAATATTTTGTATGTGATATTAATTACATTAATTGTTTTATAATCACCTTATTGATTTATAATCAGTCTGGGAATCACCGACGGTAATTTTTTATTTGAGTTATCATCACAGACTTGTATAAAAATAGACTAAGCACGTACCTCAATTTATATGAAATGTTATTTAATTATTATTAAATTATTACAATATTAAATAGATTAATTAAAAAATAATAATAAAGAAATTAATGCAAACAACAACGACCCAACTTACTTTTTTTTTTTTTAGTATTAATATACTCGCTAATGCGAGTATGTGAATCATACTACAATGATTCACGTACAGGCAGTCCGAACGGTCCGTAAATACCCTTAGGACAGTGTTAGAGCTGACCCGGACCCAACACACCAGAGATGTGCACCTTTTTCGCATAATAACGTAAAAAACAATCAACACGCGCCTCGGCGAACATTCCCGATGCAATAAAAAACCTGGACACCTCCAACAGCGCTCTAAACACATTTTTTTTTTATACAACCTAGAATGGCAAACAAGCTGACGACCCACCTGATGGAAAGTGGTAACCGTCGCCTATAGACATGAGCAGTACCATGGACATAACAGAGTATACTGTTTCACCCATGATACCCCCCATGCGTTACCATTCCTGAGGACTCAGGTGTTATTCCTCTGTACCCAGTAAATTCACGCCATATGCCACCCCTCAAACCGAAACACAGCCATATAAACACAACTGCTTCACGGTTGAAACACGAATGGGACAGAGGTACCCAAGCAATCGACTTTTGTACTGGACTCGTAGGGCGCTATACTGTTTCTGAGTATAAAAAAGCCCACAGGCTACTCGTGTAAAAGGACGTACAAAATGCTCTAGAAAAAGCGTTTTTGACGTCTTTGGAACAACATGAAAACCTACCAGCTATGTTGGCCCTCACAAGCAACGTCCTACGCTCCCTCTCTATGCCCATATCATCTCACAAGTCAAAAGTTTACATTATTAATAAGAGAACGAATAAAATTATATTTTATTTAACTTTGGCATTTAATATTTAAATCGCATGCCATATTTTGACTTAATCAAGATTAAGTTTAATACAAAACTTGTATATACAACATATATATAAACATGTAATAAATACATAATAGGCGGTTATGTTTACAAGTGAAAGTAACAACAGACTATTTAACTGTGATTATAATCTTGATATATTAATATCATAATTAGTGCAATCAAACTAATTAGACATGATAAAAATCTTGATTTATTATCTGTAAATTATAAATTCTTTGCATAAAATAAACAGCCAAGTAGATGAATGAATTCTGTTAACTCACCTATGCCATCTTTTTTATGGAATGTAAATGGAATGATCAGGATGAATGTAGGTTAAGTATGTAAATGGAATGATGAGGATAAATATATATTAAGGCTGTAAATAGAATGAAGAGGATGAGTGTAGATTTAGGATGTAAATAGAATGATGAGGATGAATATAGGTTAAGGATGTAAATAGAATGATGAGGATGAATATAGGTTAAGGATGTAAATAGAATGATGAGGATGAATATAGGTTAAGGATGTAAATAGAATGATGAGGATGAATATAGGTTAAGGATGTAAATAGAATGATGAGGATGAATATAGGTTAGGAATGTAAATGGAATGATGTGGGTTTTCACATCATGATTTGGCAAAGAGGACCGTGTGGAGGTCTACCTGAGAGGATATAACGCTAGCAAGAAGAATCAACCTCATTACTTACAATATCTCCACAATGTTTCCTCCCCGGTATAACGTACATGGCTGATACAAAAGGTATATCCGTCAGCTTGTTTGCCATTCTAAGTTGTATAAAAAAAAATCTCTATTGCTAACAAGTCTATAAAATAGAACGAAATAGTGACATCCAATATCTCATTCTATCTCATGGACTCTCTTGCAGGAGCGTTTAGTACTTGCCTATGGAGCCAGATGGCTTTAAGCCTACAAACTAGTCCTGGAGAGAGCAATAAATAATGTAACGATTGTTATGGTTGCAGGTGCTGTGTGGTGCAGTGGCGGGCGCGGGCGAGTTAATGGGCAACGTGAGCCGCGTGCGTCGCTCGCCGCAGCAACACCATCCACACCGCGTGCAGTGAGTACCCATCCTTAGTTAGTTTTATTTTAATGGATGATAATGGAATGGCAACCCCGCCCGCGCTAACATTATACGCTGGCGGCGCAGTGAGGGATGACAGGTGAGAAAGAAAAGGCAAATCAGTTAGTCCATCGTAATGAATACACCTGGGATACAGCACGATGGTTTCCAGGGAGGATCACGTGGAGGTCGACCGGATAGGATATATTGCTAACAATGGGACTGGTAGTCCGCATTGCTATTAAACCCTTCCCCCTATCCTTAGTTAGTTAGTCATTTCATGGATGATAATAGTATGGCATAGTCATCCTGTCTGCGAATCGGCATACGCTGGTGTGATACCAGCGAAAATGACAGGTGAGAATGAAGTCAGATCAAATGGATCATCGTGGCGAATTCTCCAGGAAGTAACCCCGATGGTGGACAGTGTGGAGATGGACTTTACAGAGACACCTTGACTAACATTATCCCCCAGATAAACTTTAGTTAGTTTGTGGCGATTGAGCCATTGAACTTGAGAGCGTGGTTAGTTCGTTCTACCTAGGCTATTTTAGAAAGCTAAGAGAAGAAGTAACGTTTTGATCGTAATCAAATTTGAAAGAATAAAATATTGAGTATGGAATAACATTACATTAGATGTACTGTAGCTACAGGGTATACCACAGTATATTCTGTAGTATCTGTGATTCAATATAATGTGATTATTATCTGCCACAGCTGAAGGTTACCACTTTTCATCAGGTAGACCGTCAACTTGTTTGTCATCCCAAGTTGCATAAAACAAATGAAAATATCAAGCCCACAACGAAAATCAGTGATCAAATTGTTATTTACAGGACGGACGAGGAGCTAGACGCAACAGCGGCGTGGAGACGCTCCCACTGGCGCGAGATGAACTCCATCTTGCGCCGGGAGAGAGAGGTTGTCGAGTGCTGCCCCTCAGTCCTCGAGATGGTGGCCAAAAAGGGGGGGCGTACCTTCGGCGGCCTCTACGTAGAACTGTACGAGGACGGTGAAAACAAACAGAGGTTGTACGAACTGTCGTGTGCTCCAGAAGTGGTCGATAGACCCTGTCGCTTTGTGGACCCACGAGTGTATAACCAATCGAGGTGCGTGCAAAAATACTCCTACTCGTATGCGTTAGTGCGCTATACGACGGCGACCGAGATGCCCCATCCAAGGACCGAGGGGCATTTCGCTGTCCCCGGCTCCGGGGACTGGTCGATGGACTATGTGAAAGTGCGTGCCGGTTGCGAGTGCCAAATAACGCCGAAGCGGAAAACGCCCCACAAGAAGAGGTTGGAGAGACATCGACAGAGGAGGAAAAATAAGAGACTTGAGGAAGAGGACGAAACCTGATCTTAGTGGTGTGCTAGTGATGTCACTGAACAAATTAATACTTCCCGGTTTAGTATTACGAGGTTGGCTGTACTTACACCTTTAAGAACTTCAGAACATTAGTGACCAGAGTGCCTAGTGTGAGTTTGTACAAAGATTTATATTACAACAACATTTACTCTATAAATATGTATAAATACCTAACTTAACTACGCCTCTAGCAGATAGTTTTGTAAATTAAGATTTCCATACAAAATAATTATAACATGCAGTTTTTGTGTAACTCACACTAGGTATCCTGGTCGCATTTTCAAATACCGAATGAGTGACTAGAATTCTTTGTGTGGTTCGTACAACAAATTACATTACGACCGCGTTCTGTCCTAACTGCTCCTCTAGTAGCTAGTTTCGTAAACATAATTTCCATATAAAATTGTCGAGTAAACGTGAACACGAACGTAACGTAACTTTTTGTGCAACTCACACTAAGCACTCTGGTGCGAGTACAGTTCAATCGATTTGTTGCGTTACCGATATTGTACAAGTGAACATGCTAGCGACTATCGATGGTATATTTTACTGTATTTATTTTGGAAAACTTCGTCTATTTAATTACGCTTCATTGTTTTAGTCTAGTTAGTGTCGGTCAGCGATCTTATGAAAATTAATTACAGTGCCTTGTGAATGTTGTGCCTTATATCGTTAGAAATTGTAAAAAATCTGTGACTTGTGAGTTTCGTATACACACAAACTTACATAATAAGTAGCTAATATGTAACATCACGCACACATTTAAAATTATCTATTGTTCTATGGACTACGGTTTTACTATATTATATATATGTAATATAATAATTGTTTTGACATAAATAGGTTACATGCCCTTAACATCAATATTATTAAAAAAAAAGTACACAAAGTAACTTTATTGTAACCATTTTTTTAAAACCATCCTTTACGGTACGTGCACATTTTTTTCTCGTTTGTTTCCTAATCTCTTTTACCAGTTCTACGAGTATTCCTTTAAATACCATCGTCAATTATATATTAAAAAAAAAATCTTGTTGTAAATGCATTTTTAGGGTTACCAGCGGCGATGAGTGTATCAGTCGGTTTGATATTTTAGATATTCGTACTATCCAAACAAAAACAATAACAGAGCAATAACCTAAAGCCCGATGATAGATAAAACGATAGTATAAATCCGTGAGTATGTCAGTAGAGTAACAAACATATAAAAACAGAATGTCAGTAATGGATCGAACAAATTCATAACACTTGCCATTCATTCTACAAAAAATAAATAAATATTGCTAGCGTCTATTCCATTGCACCCTTTCTAATTCTTTTTAAAATGATGTTTGGATAGAGAGCCATCAAATACATTAAAGGTATTGAAAGAGGGGCTTTTTTCAGACATAAAAGCCTACGACCTTTCCATGATCTTTTGTGCTTAATAAATACTAACTTACCACACTTACATCGATTATTTTTAAATAGAAATAAACAAATTATAGGTACAAAAAAGTCACTATGAAAAGTGTTCATTTCTGTCATTAAAAAAAAATATAATTCTTCAGAACATACAGAACTAAATTGAGATTTGAAATATTAATAGCTTTCCTATTGCAGAGAAGCTGAATTAAGATAGCTTTCTTATTGCAGAAATAAATATAATGAAACTGTGTGCGTTGTATGTGCCGTGACGATATACATATTTTATTAGTTACCCAATATGATCAAGGTACGAACTTGTACAGAATGACTTCTCTGCGTCTTTCACGCATATAACAGTGCCTAGTGTGACTTTTTCATAAATTTACTTCACTACCGCATTATAATTTACATTGGTGTTTTTCATTGAATATTTACCTGCTTCTCTAGCGTATAGTTTCGGATGCTCATGTTTCTATACAAACTAATGGATTTAAACAAGGCCATAACGTAAATCTTTGTACAACTCACACTATGCACGCAGATAAAATAAATTCATTACTAATCTCTACTCAGATAATCTGTAATGATAATAATAGTTCTAAATGCATTGTTTTAATAATTTATTTACATAAATAATAGTTACATCTATGTAATTATGTACAAGAAATAATTTGTACAGATCTTAATTATCGTTTTGTTTAATATATTTTGTCACATTTTAATGGCGTACAATTTATGTATATATATATATATATATATATATATATATATATATATATATATATATATATATATATATATATATATATATACCTACACTGATACAGTAACTCACAGTATTATAGATTCATGATTAAAATCTTGAAACAAGCACTTAATTTGTCTAAACAATCTTATAAACTTATTCATTTTATACACTAGTACTACTTAATATTTTTTTTTTTTTTGTTCTTATTTCTTATTATATTTTATTACTTATAATTTATTCATTTTATTACATTCTCATTTTTTTCACGTTGTGTTTAATTTTTAAATGCATAGTGCGATTTGCACAAAGATTTGCTTTACGATCACAATCACATGTACGTTAATAAGTTTGTATAGAAATCCGAGTTTCTGATACTATCCACTAGAGGCGCTGTTTTTTTCCGTAATAACGAGTATATCGTACGATCGTAACGTAGATCTTTGTGCAACTCGCACTAGGCGCTTTATTACCGACTGTGTGAACACGACGTGAATATGTCATGCTCCTTTCAATTTATTGTCAGATTATATTTATGAAAATAAATTAATATTTGTATAAAATAAAACTTTTTTTTTAATTTTTAGTTATATTTGATATTACCGTTGTTCGATTATTTTATTAAGTATTACACAGTCTGTGATCGTTCATAATATTCAGTGTCATTAGTCAACACGCAGAGAAGTCTCACTGATGTTCCAATTGCTGTAATGCTCTCTTCCCATTAAATTTAGGAATATTTATTCAAAGTTAACAATTTACAATTTTGTTATTATCTGTAACGTACTTACTCTGTAGACATAAGTACATCGAGTCAAAGATCTGTATTATTTTCTATTTTGTAATACTTTTATTGTATTTAAATTTTAGCTATACATAGTTTAAGAATTAATACATTATTTATATTGTTTAATACGAGGTATTCCCATATTCTATATGAATATTAGTTTTACGCTGAAATCGCTTCCATGAAATGTATTAATGTATATAATAACACAATAGTATTGTGGACTGAGATTATTTTATGCATTTAGATGTTTAATAGCAAAAATAATAATTATTTTTGTATTATTTAATGACAAAGCGACATCTGTTGTTGCATAGCGAAAGAGATAGCTCAGCGCCATCTATCATGGAATAGTAGTACTTTGATTTAAATCGTTATTAAATGTCAGTCCAAAGATGCATAAATATCGCTAATCCCAATATTATTAATCAGTGCCATGACTCATGATAGCTTTTATAGATTTTCATTGCTTTATCTGGTTAAATAGTTCTTGTATATAGTACTAAATTAATTATTTTTTGTCATTGACTATTCCATAACTATTTGTTAACCTAAAAATTTTACATCACATCCATGTGATACCTAGTATCACGGAAAACAGCAAGTTAGTATGTCACAAATATATAGACATTATTAAAAATATTGTACCTAATTTTTAACAGCCTCCAATCCGTATCGAACTATCTATTTTAAAAAATATTGTTGACATCAAATACAAATATTAAATAAAAATCATAAATAGCAAAATTTGTTTTATTGTCTTTGCCTTAAAATTAATATTAACTATATCCTATATTATGTATAAAGTCAATTATGTAAAAATAAAGTATCTAACGTCATTATGTTTCGATACCTAGATTGCTTACACATTATGTCTCCATTTGTCACTTTATTCGTCATGGTCTGAAACAAAATACATATGTAAGTATGAAATAAAGGTTTATTACATATTATAATAACAATCATAAAATATCTGTAAATAATTATAAAACACGTATTTACGCCATCTATAGGATAATAGTAACATTACTTATACTAATGCAAAATTTATATGTTTATTTACATATGATAGTCTTAAAATATGACCTATTATTACTTTATAAATTTTTTTTAAACACTGATAAACACATGTTTCTAAAACTATCAAAAATAATCTTTCAAACAGAGACTGGTTTGTTAAAAACATTTAGATTGAACGACAGCATGTTTACGACCAATATATTTGTAATCTTATATTGAAATTTTAGATATTTTACTAATATATTTGAAACATTCTGTTTTAAGACAATTTAATATTATACGTTATTATATCTGCTATTAGATTTAAGTCAGTTTACTATTATTTACCACTTTGAGGTAAACTGTACATTGAAAGTTATTTTTAGCCATAATATCGTTTGTCTTTGTTGAAAAAAAGAATGGAATATAATGCGTAACTTTTTGCTTTTCCTGTAAATATTTTATATTAAGTCATTGTTGATCTAAAACTACTTACAAAATTTTTTATTGTGCATAATATTACTATTTATATTTTGTTGATAATGTCGTGAATTCGAAAAAGATAATAGAACTTATTTGAAAACGCCACTATTGGCAACACAAGATAAAGGACACGAATCAGTGCCATCAACAGAAGTGACGGTAACAATTTTAAAGAACTTTAAAAATTAGGTTCGTATATTTCTTATTTATTTTAATATATTACTAAAATACGTTTTATTATTGTAGATGTTAACTGATATAACAAACAATCCCGAAAATCAGCATTACTCAAAGTACAGGAATATTTTGAAGTTTTGGAATCACCTTCAATTAACAATGAAAATGACTTTCATAACATCACAGGCACTGATGAAAAACATTCCAAATCTGAAAATAGCGATGTCGATTTGATCGATCAAGATTCGACATACATTCCAACTAAAAAGAAAAAGCAAATACCAGTATATATATATCATCAGGGAGCTCCTCATCTTCTACATGTTCTTCATCCTCATCAACTTCAGGATCTTCGAGTGATGTCCGATACAGACTCCAGTAATGAACAAAACAAAATAAAAAATAACATTGTTCAGCAATCAGCAAAACAATCGGAGCAAAGAAACATTAATGAACCTACAATAACCGAAGTTGCGAAAAAGAAATCAGACAATATACTACATTCTAGAAGAAAATGCGAGAAGAAGGGAAGGAAACGTAAACGGAAAGAAGAAAGCTGGAAACAGAATAAAGCTAAAAGTCTGAGAAATGCAGGAAAATCATACATCAATATGAAAAATAAAACAATTAATCCTCGTTCTGTTCAACTACCCTGTGGTATTCCTCAAATGCTGTAAAAAGATAACTGCAGATCAAAGACAAACAATTTTTGGTCTGAATCTCGGCCAGGTTGATGCTCAAAGATCATTCATTATGTCTTGTATGACTAATATAAACCCAAAATATAAATATACAAATGCTAGTAATCCAAGAAATTGCAATAAAGCTTTCCATTTCGTAGTAGAAGGGCAGTCTGTTCGAGTCTGTAAAACGTTTTTTATAAAAATCTTAGATATTTCTGATCGTGTTATACGAACTGTCAGAAGCAAAATAGATGAACATGGAATTCTAACACAAGATCTGAGAGGACAGCACAACAACCATGCAAGAGTTGATAAACAACTACTAAACGATATTAAAGAGTTTAGCGCGTCAAGAATTGAATCCCATTACATTAGGCAATATTCTACTCGTGAGTATATTGATGGCGGGAAAACAATTTCAGATCTTTTCAGAGACTTTAAAGTAGCTCAAAATGAAAATAACAAAGCAGCTGGTAGATATTGTACATTTTATAAAGTATTTACACAAGATTATAATATATCATTTTTTCGTCCCAAAAAAGATCAATGCGATTTATGTTTGCAATATAATAACACGACGCTTCAGCAAAAAGTATTACTTAATGATTTGTACAATGCCCATTTAGAAGAAAAAACATTGAGCCGCCAAGAAAAATATAATGATCGCTGCAAAATAGATGATGGAAATAAAGTTCTTGTGTTTGATCTACAAGCTGTTTTGCAATCTCCTAGAGGAAATAATTCAGCATTTTATTACAAATCAAAATTGAATAGTTACAATTTCACAATAACGCTTTTAAACAAAAAAGTTGACGGTCAAATTAAAGACTCGTATGACGACGTACACTGTTTCTTTTGGAACGAAAGTGATGGTAAACGCGGGGCTAACGAAATCGGATCTTGTTTACTAAATGTTTTTGAGAAGCTCTCAGCGGAGTCAGTAAATGAGAATGGGTGTAACTTAATTCTATATTCTGACAATTGCTGCGGTCAAAATAAAAATAAATTCATAGTTGCAGTTTACCTGTATGCAGTCACTCATTTAAATATTAATACTATCACTCATAAATTTTTAGTAAAAGGTCATACACAAAACGAGGGTGATAACATCCATAGTCTTATAGAAAAGGAGATTAAAAAAAATCTAAACTCGGGTCCAATATATTCCCCTCACCAATATGTAACCATAATTAAAAATGCAAAGAAGTCTGGCAAAAAATTCTCAGTACATGAACTAACATTTGAGTCATTTTTAGATTTGAAAAAACTTCAAGAAGATTGGGGTGTTAACTTTAATAAAAGTAAAAACGGGACTACTGTTTTATGGAATGACCTAAAGGTGATAATGGTGAAAAAAGATACACCTTTTTCATTTTTCATTAAAACTTCGTACAAACATAACGTATACCAGGAAGTAAGCATCAGAAATACAAGGAAGAAAATGCTTCCTCTGCTTCTAATTAAACCAGCTAATGCCTACATACAAAAGAAAGAGCTAAGTGAGAACAAAAAGAAAGATCTGAGAGAGTTTTTATCAAAAAAAAATTCCAAATTTTTATTTAGATTTTTATAACTCTATTCGGTGACTTATAATTAATAAATTAACTTAAGATTAATAAAACAATGATTACATACCAAAGTTATTTAAAAAAATCTAAAAAGTTTAATTATGTTTTCTTTATAAGTTTTGATTTTGTTTTATAGTAATTTAACTAAACTTGATTAATACATTGATTTATTTTATAGGTTTAATAACCAAAGTGTGTATATTTTTTAAGTTTGTTAAAACTTTTATGTTCTAATATAGAAATTTTGTTTTATAATTTCAATTCAAACAAGCAATTCTATTGCTTTTTTTTTGCATTATTTTTATGTTGATTTATAGAACCAATAAATAAAATTGAGACGTCAAATTTGTTATTTGTATGTGGACTGATAAAGAAATGCAATAAAAGTTTATTATTTATATTAAAATTAAGTTTATCGACAGTCTGCTAATTTGAATAAAATGACCCATTCTCTAAATATGTTTTCCCAATGTAATCATATATAGACTAAATCCTAAATTAGTCATTATAAATAATTAATAATTTAAAATGAAACAGGCTTAAAACCTAATAGAATACTTGCATTTAAAAATGTTTGCTTTACTTTTTATAAAAAACTGACTTAACTTAGAATGTACATTTTACATATTTTTTTTAAATAGATAGAAATTATTTTCGGCATTTGTTTTTACTTGGTATTGATCAATAGTTAATCGTATTTTTAAAATACAATCATTCATGGTTAATTAATAATCCGTTTTAATGTTATTCATCAACAAGTATAAGTCCTTATAGCAAAATCTTCTTTTCGATTTCCCAACAATTGTATTTTTTGAGTTAGGTCAGTCTTTCATTAAGCATGCGATATGATAGTCTTAAAATATGACCTATTATTACTTGATAAATTTTTTTTAAACACTGATAAACACATGTTATTTTAAAATGAAATCTGTGCGAACTATCAAAAATAATCTTTAACCTGGCTTAAAAACATTTAGATTACGACAGCATGTTTACACCAATATATTTGTATTGAAATTTTAGTTTCCGAAATTATCTGCTAGAAGGCTATTTACCAGAGGTAAACTGTACAAAAGTCGTTTGCTTGAGCTCCTCTGTCCCATTTATGTGTCTACCACAGTTGTGTTCGCATGGTTGTGTTTCGATTTGAAAGGTGGGATATGGCAGTGAATTTACAGGGTACAAAGGAATATATATATATATATATATATATATATATATATATATATATATATATATATTATACAACTTAGAATGGCAAACAAGCTGACGGTCCACCTGATGGAAAGTGGTAACAGTCGCCTATAGACATGAGCAGTACCATGGACATAACAGAGTGTACTGTTTCGCCCATGATACCCCCCATGTGTTGCCATTCCTGAGGACTCGGGTGTTATTCCTCTGTACCCTGTAAATTCAATGCCATATCCCACCCTTCAAACCGAAACACAGCCATGCAAACACAACTGCTTCACGGTAGAAACACGAATGGGACAGAGGTACCCAAGCAATCCGTCAGCTTGTTTGCCATTCTAAGTTACATTAAAAAAAATTAAATCCTATCGTCCCCAACATAGTTAGCCCGGCCCTGCCTATTTACATAAGAAGCACTAGACATTTACTTACCAAAATATTTCATCAAAAAATACATAAGAGTAAATCCAAATCCTACAGCGATGAACTGAGTGACTCCAGCGGTCCGCTTGCGCTCGTGCCACCGCGCCCTCTCGCGGGGCAACACCTCACTTACAGTCACGTAAAGTAAAGTACCAGCAGCCAAAGCCTGAAATTGAAAAATATAATCATTATATCAACCGTCTATCCACTGCTGAACATATGCTTTCCCCATAAGCGGGGTTTTGATAGTGGTTGCCACGCTTGGCAGGCAGGTTGGCAATCGCAGTTGAGTTTTGGTGATATTTTAAGAGGGACGCTGCTGCCCATGCCTTCTATAGTCGCCTGTTACGATACCCATGGGAAAGGAAAGGAAGGAGTGGGTGATACTGGCTATATATATATATTTTTAAATAGTTCGTTTCCTCCTCGCAGTCTCCCCTGGAAACCATCGTGGTTGATTTATTATTGAATTCGACACGATGGGCCAACTGATCTGCTTCATCTTCACTTATCATCTCTCACTGGTGCCCCACCAGTGTATACCGCAGGTGGGGTTACCATTTTATTATCATCCATTAAAAAAATAGTTCGTTTTAGAAGAACAGTCGAATTTTTTTAATTATGCTGAACAAAATATATTACTTATTAATATAATCAAAACACTTAACATAACAACACAGGGATGGGAAAGGGATTGTTAGTAATGAGATCTAACAGCCCCATTGCAAGCAATATATCCTATCAAGTGGGTTTCAACGCAGTTCTGGCTAGAAAACATCGTAGTCAATTTTCATTGAAATTGTCACAATAGACTAACTGGCCTGCTTCATCCCCACCTATCATACATCACTGGTGCCCTGCCAGCGTATACCGAGAGCGCAAACGTGGTAACCATTCCATTATCACCCATTTAAAAAAACAGCAACACAAAATCAAACGTTCAAAACGTCACCTGCATAATAGGCACAGCGGTGGAATCCTTGACAGCGCTGACGGTTTCCAAACCAGCGCCGACTGCGATGCCAGCGACGGAGCCGCCGCTGAATAGCGACACACTCACTAGATGTGCGCACAGGCGGCCCGGCGCGCTCGCACAGATCTCCGCTCCCAGACAAAAGCCGACGACGAATTTGTGTGCGCAAACAGCACCTAAAATTAATAGGACCTGCAATTAAAAGAGTGTAATATTAAAGTAATTATGTAAATAATTTATCAACCAACTTTAAAAAGGAAAGAGGTTCAAATATACATAATAAATACAATTCGGTTGTATTTTCTTATATGTTTGTAATCTCATAACTTCATCATTTGCAAAACTATTTGGAAAATCATTTTTTTTCTAAAAAAAATCACTGTATGTTGCAGTGTATTCTCAAAATTAAACGAATCGTCAATAAAGAAATTTTACTTCAAATTCTCGTTAATTATAAAAGAATCTTAGATTATATTATATTATAGCAACGCATGGCGGGTATCATGGGCGAAACAGTATACTCTGTTATGTCCATGGTACTGCTCATGTCTATAGGCGACGGTTACCACTTTCCATCAGGTGGGCCGTCAGCTTGTTTGACATACTAAGTTTTATATATATATATATATATATATATATATATATATATATATATATATATATATATATATATATATATATATATATATATATATATATATATATATATATATATATATATATATATATATATATATAGATAGATAGAGTGTCTCCATACAAATGCTTCGAGAAAAGCGGGTCAACTTTTTCATACAATTTTGTGTGATAAATATTCCTTAATATAACTTCTATATTTATTTTGTCTTATAATTTCTGCATCTTTTTAATGCGCAAAAAATAATTTTATTTATTAAACAATTAAATATAGATACGTTAATACACATTGTTTGTGTAAGTATATAGAACATTAATAAAAAAAAATAGTCAGCTAATTTAACAATTAGCTGACAAAAAGTCGAAACTCTGTCTATATAATCTAAGGATATAATCAATAAAAACCACAACTCTCGATGCTAGCGCCATCTAGTATTTGTTGGCCAATTTTGTTTAGCCATCGACCACCTTAAACAATCATTCTACATTCATTACACGAGTAGGTATTGTATTTCTATAACAGAAACGTTATTAAGATGACCTTGACATATATTGTACTCTGTCTTGCCTTACTATCTAGCATTAAGTGCACAAATACAATTGTAATACTTTCCAATAAGTTTTTATTAAACACTAGCTGTACGCCGCGACTTTGCCTGCATAATCAGAACAAGAGGTAACCAATGTTTTATTCCATACGTCCTCTAACTGTATAAGAAATGTAATTCAAATTCAACCAACTAACAAATATTGAAATATCTAAACTAAATACCTTTAATTGTGTTTTATATGAATCTGGTTCTTCATACATTTTTAATGAGTAATAAATTGGTATCTTTATACTAGCTTTTACCCGCGATTTCGTACGCGCGACTGCTTTACGTCCATTAACCAAGATAAAAATACAATATACAAAATTTTTCTCCATACCACATAGTAGTGTTTACCGGGGGGAAAAGGATTGTTAGTAATGGGTTCTAATAACCCTATTGTTAGCAATATATCCTATGAGGTCGACCTCCACGCGGTTCCCCCCGGGAAACCATCATGGTTAATTCTTGTTGAACTCTTCATGACGGGCCAACTGACCTGCCTTCATCCTCACTAATCATCTATCACTGGTGCCCCGCCAGCGTATATCGATTACCATTCCATTTTCACCCATTAAAAAAATTAAAAATATGTGTATACCAAATTTCATAGTCTATTAACCATAAACCATTAAAGCACATGAAGGTAACAAATAAAAAAATAAAATCACTTTCATACATACATACATACATACATACATATCTATCACGCCTGTCTCCCATCAGGATAGGCAGAAACAATGGAACACTTACGTTTACAATATTAGTAAGAATTCTCATACATTTTATTTTTTATTTTAAACAACTTTTCTCTCAATTGAGAGCAAACAATTTCTTGGCAAAATGTCCAAAGCAACTTAAAATACAAGTACCAATAATCTTTCCAAGGTTACCACTACCTCGGATTGTCGAGCACTAGAGTGATCCTAAAAAAGGAGCAAACTGCCAGAAACTGGTTTGCATATAAAGTTCAAAGGAACGTTGACATTTATAAAATAATTTATTGTTCCTAACTTCCGTGAATGGAATGAAGACCAAGTACTATCTTGCCATAATTGTAAAATAATACATCGAGTATAAAATGTCTTAAAAAAAATATTTGGATGTTTCCATATATGTATGTCTCTCAATCACACTTAGATGAGAAGAAAGAATTATTAAAGGATAATTAAATATTAGCCCTATAGCTAACAATATACGCTAACGGGTCGACCACCACACTGTCCCCCATAAGAATGCTATAAGCAATCGACTTTGTACAAAAACCTCCTCTGTCCCATTCGTGTTTCAATCGTGAAGCAGATGTGTTTGCATGGCTGTGTTTCAGTTTGAAGGGTTGGATATGGCGTGAATTTACTGGGTACAGAGGAATAACACCTGAGTCCTCAGGAATGGCAACGCATGGAGGGTATCATGGGCGAAACAGTATACTCTGTTATGTCCATAGTACTGCTCAAGTCTATAGGCGACGGTTACCACTTCCCATCAGGTGGGCCGTCAGCTTGTTTGCCATTCTAGGTTGCATGAAAAAATCCTCATTTACGTAAAGCAATGCACGTAACAATGCATCACAGTACATCAATATCTACCTACTTAATATGACTATCATAATCAGTTATAAATTTTACTTAGATAATTTCCTTATCATTTATTTATCAAAGGAAACTTGATCTAACTAAGGTTTAAAATAGGTCATGGAAGGTTTAATGAGTATATCATATTTAAATGCAAATAATATCTAAAATCCTGTTTAATAACAAATGCGTAACGATATATGAATGTTTGTTACTCTTTCACGCAAAAACTACTGGACAGATTTAAATAAAATTCAGTACATAGATAGGTTATACCTTAACTTATTGCATAGGATACTTTAGACACTAATTTACGCACCTGAAGCCACAGTATATAGCTGGTATTAAAAGCAACTTATTACCCACGTTAGTACTATATTAATCATTCATTTTAAACTACAAAAAACAGTTCTAAAGAAATCTGTTTGTTTGTCATTAAATTTTATCACCTTCTACCTATTATCATCGTTAACTGTCTACTGCCAAACATAGACTTCCCCTATAAGAAGGGGTTTGCTAGTAGTTGCCACGTTTGGCAGGCGAATTGGCAGCAATTAAGCTTTGATGATTTTTTAAGAGGGACGCTGCTGCCTATCCCTCGACTATTATTTATTATTTATATACTATTATTTCTGTAAAATAAAGTTTATTTCTTTCTATTAAGTTAGTCGTCTCTTATGACACCTACGAGAAAAGAAGGAGTAGCCCATTTTATAGCGGGAGCACACGGTGAATTTGGGATTATATTTGTAAAGTGAAATTAACCAACTTCTGTTGCATTTAATTGATCCTTTTAAGCAATTTTTATTTATTTGATTACATTAAATGCAGTCCATAATTTATAAAAAAAAATTAACTCTAGACTTGCACTAAAATATAAATATACTTCGTAACGATAAATCCAATTTCGTCATAATTATATATAAAAATACATTGCTGGAATTTCTTAAAATTTGCAATGGTACCCTGCACTTTGGTTGTATTTTGTTAAGAGAGGGACTGGCTGAGAACCAGCGCTGTGCAGCTGTTCACATTGCGCTGGGACACTCACAGCATCCGCTGAGCCGGTTCCTTTTGCCTAGTATGGGACACTTCTTGCATATGTATTTTCTATATTTTATATTGTAATTGTGTGTTTACTACCAATAAATGATTTCTATTCTATTCTACTCTATTCTTAAAAAGGCAAATGACATTTCTGTTTAATTTTAGTGAATTTTTTAGTTTTGTGTCTTCCAAAAATTTGATGTTCCCAGAAAGTATTTTATAAAATGTTTCTTTCTAACTTTCTGATGCATTAACTTTTCTGGGGACTCAAAGTTGAAAGCACAGTTGAAAGCTTCACCAAGATTTATTAGGGGTCACATTTGCCGAAAATTATTACAAAATATTAAAGGAAAACTTACCTGAGTAGATGTTTCTTGCAGACCTATTGCCAGTCCCTCCAAAAAGCTGTGCACGAACAACGCGCACAAAAGTCCTATGACCCCTGAAAAACTTCTGTTGCAGGGGGGTGTATGGCTAACATGGCACATCCTCGAGCTCCCGGTGTCCCCACAACATCTCCCCATCTCCCCATCAGGAGACCTCGCATTCCTTTCCGGATTTAACAGACCCGTCACTTCACTGCTCCCATAATTCTGTCCGTGGTAATGTAACTCGTCTTGACCATGACGCCCATCGCCCGGTCGATAAAACAAATGAACAATCTCGTCTACAAAGTAAACTAGAAAGAAGCCAATACAAAGCATCAATTCTGATAAATCAGGCAGATTCTCCCGCGCCTCTGGAAGCATATGCAGTATCGATGTAGCTAGAAGAACACCAGCTCCTAAACAAAGGGAGCACGATATTAAAAGTGGATGCCTCTGTCGTGTATTCTCTGAGAAGCAGGCGGGAACCATTCCACTTATGAAACTGCCAAGTCCTAATGTCAACATGGAAATCGCCTTTGCTGTTGTTACCTCCATTTTAAAATCACTATTCAATTTATGAATTAAAATTGTAAATTTCTATATTTCCACGTTATAAGGAGTAACTGAACACGCTTTTACACAATACACAAGTTCCTTTCCGTTGATATTATCATTAATATTTACACAAACTGTTATCGAAATTAGCGACACATGTTCTTATCGGATACCTATTTGTATAAAAGTATAAACGACCGCTCTGTCACTTGTACGGATTTGGAATGAATTACGCGTCGTTGTGTTTGTATATTCTGTAGTTTGTGAATGTATTACGCCCAGATAATTTTATATCGCTCTTAATCCGTTGCATTAAAGTTGAAAATGTACTCGTACATGTGTAAATGTACAATACGCCTATCTATATAGGTACTTATAAATAGAATATAAATTGAAACTAATCCGAACAAAGGATTACATTGTTTATAAACAAATTAATGTCACGAACTAATTTTTATAAGTATATTTGTATTTTTAAATTGTTTCTTAATTTTTTTACTGTAACTTTCAATTATTCATCACCGTCCTATCAACTGCTGAACATAGGCCTCCCCTTGAGGACTTTGCCAATAGTTGCCACGCTTTGTAGGCGGGTTGGCAACCGTAGTTAAGCGGGGGGAGGGGGGAAAGGGATTGTTAGTAATGGAGACTGAGAATCTCATTGAAAGCAATGTACCCAACCAGGCCGACCTCCTCGCGGTTCCACCTGGAAACTATCATGATTAATTCCTGATGATGAATCATGATGGGCTAACTGGCCTGTTTCCATTCTCATCTATCACCCTTCACTGGTGCTCCGCCAGCGTATCCCGTTAGCGTAGGCGGGGTTACCATACCATTTTCACCCGTAAAAAAAAACCGTAGTTAGGCGTGATGTTTTAATAGAGAAGCTGCTATCCATGCGTCTATGCGTCCATTAAGTTCCCTTAGTCGCCTCTTACGACACCCACGGGAATGAATGGTGTGTTAATGAATGGTGTGGTGTGGTAAATCGATTTGGGAAGTACTTTTTTATCTATAAGAATATACAGATTGGTCCCATAAAAATAAATTTTATCGAAATCGGTTTAATAATTTAGTTTTAAAATATTTTTATTTAAAATATTTTATTAATTGTGGTCAAACCCGTTATTTTTAAGGGGTTTGACCACAATTCAAGTCAGATTTGTTTAGGATCACAATCTTTATACAAACCATAGCGACCATAATTAATTAAAAAAAAAATATATGGAAAATACAAAATTTTATTCGACATTGTAATATCTACAATAATATAATCTCATTTTACGCTCGTCATTAAAAAAGAAATAATTTTGAGTGTTCATGACGTTTGTAGTATGCTCAGGATAAATTAAATTAATTAATTTAATTAGTAATAAATGCAGGAACCTGATTAAACTGAACTCGATTTAATTAACAAAAATGAACGAGTTACTGCAGAGACACGGTTGTGCCAATGTATTTTCTGTTCCCGAAGGTCTTAAGGAATTGATGTCGGATATTACAAGAGAGGTGCGTTTTATGGATTATTACTTTTTTTTTACTATAAAATTAGAAAACGTTTTAACCGGATTTTATATAACTTATCGTCGAATTATTACTTAAAAAGTGGATTAAGGGAAAGAGGTGGACTCTTCTAACTTTTTTTATTATTAAAGTTTACAAATCATCAAAGTTTTAATAAAAAATATTAAATTACACCTTCCGGACTTGCTTACGAATGGCTTTGATTATGGTATAATCGTAAGCCATTTTAAAGGTTTAGGGAGTCTTACATGAAATAATAAAGAATACGAATGGACGATTTTTTTTTGATTATGGTATAATCGTATAGGGAGATAAAGGATATGGCCTGGGATAGAGCTGGCTGGAGGAAGATGTATGAATTAGTTGCACCGACAAGAGGAAACTCTTAAATGAAAAGATACATGGAGGGTAAGACAGGATTGAAAGTACTTTAGTAATATTAAAAATAGGTTACCACATCTCTAACGACTGCTAGAAGCTAAGCTGCGAGAAGAGCGTTCTTTTCGTGTTTGCGCAACTGCGAAGGCGCCACTTTCCTGCAGATTTCACGTTGCATAATTTTTGGAATAAAATTTCCAAATATTCGCGTATTCTTAAACCATTGCACTAGTGTAATACTTTCGTGTTTACGTGTCGTACACCACATGTCGAACAAATATTTCTTTTAGTCGACTAATAAATGAAAGCGATCACCACTACTTGTTCATGAATTTATCCTAACCATTCCGCTTATAGTGACCGCTTCAGGAACTCTCTCATCATGCGTGAGCTCTCGTATGACTCCATAGTCCATCTTGTTTATGAAGGGACGCAATTTATTTTGATCATGTAAAAATGTAGGTGCACATAGCAACTGCGTCAACGGAGAAACAAAGACTCAATTTCCTATGAAATTGAAATCATTTATTTGCTGGAATAAGGTACATTTTTATAGGTGTTACTTTACAAGAAATATAGTCCAATCTTATTCTGCCACACTGTAGGCGTGCAAATATACAAAAAATTAAAATAATTTCATCATAATAACATATACATTTGCAATAATATTTTGTCACTTTTTGTATCTATTTTTTTTTTTAATGGATGATAATGGAATGGTAACCCCACCCGCGCTATCGGTATACACCGGCGGGGCACCAGTGAAGGATGATAGGTGAGGATGAAGCAGGTCAGTTAGCCCATCGTGACGAATTTAACAAGAATTGTTCACGATGGTTTCCAGGGGGAACCACGTGGAGGTCGACCTAATAGGGCATATTGCTAGCAATGGGGCTGTCAAACTCCATTACTAACAATTCCTTTCCCCCTTTTTGTATCTATTCAATGAGTATAGAATATATAGAAATATAGAATGAGTATAGAAGAGAATATTTCCTATGCATCAGCAATAAAGATCAAGTTTGCATTAGTAGTTAGTTAATTAATATCTCCATATCTATCTATCAATCTCCTCAGGTTCTACGGGAACAACCCGAAAAGATCTTCGACTTTATCGCAAACTATCTGTCTGTATTAATCCTTACACGGGAACATGGCATCCTGGCTGTGAGGATCTTGGATGATCTCTGTGACTGCCGACCTTCGGTGTCGGAGCATCTTCTACAAATTGGTATGGAGAGGAACCAAGCGGAGGCATTATCGCAGGTCATTAAGGAAGAGATTGAAGAGTTTGAACCGACAGAAGGAAAAGGTAATTTTGTTGTCCCTGACTCGTGTCTTGATGAAGACTGAGACGTGACAGTAAAATGATATGATATAGATACCTACTGTGACTGAAAATCTTGATGTCGAAATACCTTACACGTTTATGTGATAGCTCAGTTCTTGCAAGCATTAAAACTTTATCATTAGCAATTAAAACTGTCAGAATATAACCCAGATCTAGCGTGGGGGGGAAAGAGATTGTTAGTAATGGAGACTGAGAATCCTATTGCTAGCAATATACCCAACCAGGTCGACCTCCTCCCGGTTCCTCCTGGAAACTATCATGGTTAATTCCTGATGAATTCATCATGATGGGCTAACTGGCCTGTTTTCATTCTCATCTATCACCCTTCACTGGTGCTCCGCCAACGTATCTTGTTAGCGCAGGCGAGGTTACCCTTTTCACCCATCAAAAAAAAACTCAGATCTAGCTTTAAATTATCAGAGAAAAAGAACCATCTAACAATTGTCTAGTTTATCTAGTACAAATAGTAATTCAATTAGTTACATCCCATTTGCAATCCGTATTGCAGTGCTAAAAACGACCTGTGGCAATCTCTTTAGCATGTCCCGAACGATTACATGGCAATTCGGTACTCATTGTTCTATCTAGACCGGTATTTCCCAATGTGGGGCCTACGTCCCACAGGGAAGCAATTTGGAAGTTTAAAAAATGGACTCAAATTCTAACCCTCTTTCTCCGGGCCATTTAAATGCAATGCTACGAGTAGATATCGCTGACAAATTTAACAAAAAAAAAGTAAATTAAAAAAATGCTGTAAATATTTGTTAGGTATAATTTCGTTTGACATTACCAAAATATCGAATGGACAATTAGAGTCGTCAAGAGAATTTTGTTGGGAAAAATTATGTATGGAGGCATAAAAATTTTAGCAATGCTCAAGTGGGGCATGGCACAAAAATGTTTGGTAAACACTGATTTAGACGTATCCATTGAACAACTAGTAAATTAGAGATTTATAATTAGAATTAGATATTATAATCAAACTAATAGTAAAGATAACACTAATATTCTAAAATTAATATTCAGATATGAAAGTCATAACCCCATGATTATTATTTTATTATCGTTTGTTACAACAGAAACAATTAAAGAGACATTAATCCTAAAGAAAATCTTAACAAGAACTGTTTTAGATGAAGACATGGCTGCGAAGGTGTGGCAAGTCGCCAGGAATGCATACCGTGATTTCTGGTACAGAAAGAAACTGATGGCACAAGTAACAATATTATTTTAATTCAATATTTTGACGCCATTATTTTTAGACTGAATGCAAAAAGAGGGCTAATCAATTCACCTGTATTTTTTGTCTTCGCCAATTCTGAACCGATTTTGATGATTGTTTTTGTAGTCTAACTACTTTCCCCACAACAACGAACAATATGAACACAATAGTTAATTTCAAATTTTCGCACTGTTTACACATATTTAAATACACTATCAAGATTTGGAGACGTGAAAAATTTAATTTCGTCGTGACCACGACGTGGTGCAATCCACGTCGAAGCATCAGCAATAAAGAAGAAGCAAGTAAGTAGGTACTACGCTGGCTATCAGCATATGTTTTACTGGGTACATATAGTAAAGATTATCGAGTCCATCATCCCAATAGGCCGGAGTGGGGCTGCCCATTCGGTGTTAATCCACAAACAAGCAAGCAAGTAACAACTGCCGATATTACTTGTATTTTCCTCAACTACTGCTTATCTACGGCCATTTTTGTGTGACACACGGACTACAGGAATGGAAGATAAGTTTGGAAATAAAGACTTTTTAAAATTATTTTTCTAAACGACTGCCTTTGCCTAATTTACCTGCAATTTATTATTTTTTTTAATTTTTATTAATTTTCATCGCGCTAAGCCCCGATATTGTATTTAAATAATATGAACACCTCTCAAAATATATATTCGTATATCATTACAATCTTTTTCCTAGCACTTAAAAGTTCAGCCAGATGAACCCTGGGAAGTAGCTGCGGAGCATACATTAGCGTTATACAAAAAAACAAAGCCCTCCTTTAGTGAATTGACAAGAGCCGCCCAGAAAATACAAGTAAGTAATTGAAAATTTACCTACTGATTTTAAATCAAAAGAAAACCAAAGAAAAATCAAAATAGGAAATAATATGTATTTCTAATAGCGATGGATATTATATAGCAATATCTGTATATTGGCCCAATAAAGAATATATTAAGTATCTGTTATCCAATATTTAATTTCGAAATGAAGTACCCGATCAAATTTAATATAGATATCCGATCGGTCCGGGCGATATCTGAATGGGTTGACCTTTCTTCCGCCATCAATGTCCAAAATAAGTCAGTTTATAGATATTGGAGCGGTATCAATATTACCCATGCCTAATTTCTAATTTTAATCCACAAATTGTCTTTTCAGGCAGCTTATAGAGGATATCATGTGCGCAAGAACTTGCTTCGACATCTAAAACCGAAACTCAAAAAATCTGGACCCAAAGTGGAATTACTGGGACCACCAATAGACGTGGCAGAGTCCAGGGAAATCGACCTTGGACCTGTTATGGTGAGTTAGTATTTAATCATCAATAGTATAAATAAATCTGCTCAGCTCAGGTCTACATTACGAGAAAAAGGTTTCTCGTGTTCTAATTTGAAGATCAGACAGTGATATTATTATGCAGCATTTTCATTATTTCAATGTGGTCCCGGCATGCAATGGGCCATCTCTTCCTTTCCTGTGGCTGTCCTAAGAGGTGACTAAGGGAACTTAATCTAAGGATGGGCAACAACAACTTTCTTAAAACATCACCGTGGCTACCACTGACAAAACTCACCTTATAAAAAGGCCTATGTTCAGCAGTGGACAATTACTAGCTGGTATAACAATAATGATTCTCATCATAACTACATATGTAATAAAAGGATAAGTCTAAAAAGTAATAAATTTTATATTGGATTGTAGTTAACAAATGAAGAAAATGTCATATTACACTGACTCTAAATAATATAGGATGGGAATAAAGAATAAAAATCCCTGGTAACCATAATTCAACTACAACTTTATAAATTAAAATATTAGTGATCAATAAAAAAATGTTCTCTTCTGATAGGATATAAAAGTTCGTGAGGATAACGTAGGTGAAATGTTCGAAAAACATGCTGGAAAAGAACTTGGTCTTCCATATAATCCGATTAGAGCTATTAAAGACGATGAACAATTTCGGGAAGAACAAATGAGACCAACTGGATCTAGAATAAGCAAAGTCCAAAGTCATGTATCACAACTAAAGTCCAGTAAGAGCCTGGCTAAATCAGATGATATGTCCAAACAAAGTCGCGTTGATACAGTAGCTGTAGAACCTGTGAAGATTCGTCATTTGAGCATTGCACCTGAGCCGATTCATATAGATGACATTCCATCAGGTTACACATATTTTTTAAATATTTGTTGAGTAGACTTTAATTTACAATATTTGTTGGTCCATCATAGTATTTCATAATATTAAATTATGGTAGACACAGTCAGTAATCTATTTATGTTTATTTTAAGAATCAAATGTTACTAACTTTTGCTATTAATTAAATGAATCATAAATATTTGAAAATAAAATAATGATGGTATTTATAATCATAACCTGGCCTGTTGTAAATAAATTTAAAATTACAGTCTATTTACGAGTAAATAAGGATGGTTTGAATTTGAATTTAATTTCAATTTACAGCGGCATCGTCGGAATCTCAGAAAATACGTCAGCAAAACCAAAAATCTGAATCTAGAATACAAATGCAGAGAATTTCTTTCTCAGAAGTAAGTTTAAGGTGGATTTTATATTTCTTTATGCTTTGTTCCATCTTTTAATTAATTTTTTAATTTTAGTATTATAACTATTACTAATGTCATGCAATCAAAAATTCTGTCTTTTGATAAAATTTTTGATTGAAAATTATGATTATAATATTTTTATTAGGAAATTTAATGATTATTATTATATTATATACTTGATTTTTTAGTTACTAGAAAATATAACGCCAGATACATTGGACCTAATAGAAAACGTAGCTGAAGAGGTAAAAGATATAACAGAAGATACGAAAGTTATTGCTGAAGCACCAGTATATGATGCAACACTGGTAGACATAGTTCAAGAAATCCCCGAAGATATACCAGGTATATACGAGTATAGTACGTCCTTTCATGCAATATCAGGCAAAAATAATAATAATAATATAACTACATCCTGCAGATGATAGAACTGATGGTGACGGCGAAAGTGCACCGACTGCGTCAATTCCATCATCGGCTCCAGAAACTGCTGAAGCTACAGACGTGGAAGATGCAGAGATTCTTGATACCTCTGGAGAAGAAGAAGGAGACTAACCTAATATCCAAAGCCTACAAAAAATACATCAATTTATTTTTAATAATCCGAAACATTTTAATCATAAAAGACTACGTTATAAGTTTCAAAGCCATACAAAACAGGATAATAATATTATTATTTTGGTTAGAGAAGCTATTTTTGTTTTTTTTTTCTTATTTGTTTAACATGGCTTTATAGATTTGTTTTATCTGTCAATAGTAGTAATAATAAACTGTTGTTAACACGCAATGGAAGATTTATTACAATCCCAAATAAAGGACAGCTGTAAGCTGGCGTTACCTGAAGGCCTACAGGATTTAATGTCAGATATTTCTAGGGAAGTAAGTATGAATGTTGTACACCTACTTATGCTATAGTTCACGAATGTGTATTAGTTAAGTGTGTAATAGTAGTACTTTCATCATAATCAGCATCATCATCATCATATCAGCCTTTAACTATCCCCAACTGAACATACGTCTGCTCTTGGGGGTTTTGCCAGTAGATTGCATGCTTGCCAGGTGGATTGTCAAACGTAATTAGGCGTTTAAAGATGTTTTAAGAGAGACGCTGCTGCCCATTCCTCGCCCTCCTTAGTCGCCTCTTACGGCACCCTCGGGAAAAGAAGGAATAGCCTATTGTATGCCGGGACCAAACGGCCAAATTACTAGGATAATTTACATCTACCTAAGTGTAGTCTTAATTTGGAGACTGGTGAATGAATCAATTCGATAGGGCTATATTGGGATACCATGTCACTTCTCGGAAATGGAATGACCTATGAATGACCAAAATGATGAAAGGTCAAAAGATATAACACATGCTGGTGAACACCAAGAACAGTTTAGGTGCTTATATTTTCGCGTGAACTACCAAACTTGAATTTAAGATATCCTAGGTTGATAACTCGCACTATCACAGTGTTTGTAGATACCTAAATATGATAATATCATAGAATTTTTTAGTAGTTGATTTTTAATGCTTCATAATGGAATAGAAACCACGCCTGCGCTATTGGTATAAGCTGGCAGGCAACCAGTGAGAGATGATAGGTGAGGATAAATCCAGCTCAATGAGCCCATCATGACGAATTGACAAGAAACATGATGGTTTCCAGGGAGAATCGCGTAGAGGTCGACCTGATAGGGTATATTGCTAGCAATGGGACAGTTGGATATAATTTCTAACAATCCTTTTCCTCCCTCACGCAGATAATATTAGTAGTTCCAGGGGGAAGCACGTAGAGTACAACCTGTCAGGGTATATTGCTTACGATGGGGCTGGTAGTCCGCATTACTTATAATACCTTCCCCCCAGTCACTTATTATTAGGTGAATCGCATGCTTTTTTGCCTCTTGTGTTATGAAATAACGTCGTAAATTATAACTATCTATCCCAACAGGTATTACGTGTACAACCACAAAACCTCTGCCAATTCATAGCCCGCTATCTATCTGCACTGTTGGTAACAAGAGAAAACTTGCACATTGCTTCTCGAGTATGTAGCAATATCTATGAGGGTAGTTGTAACCCGGAATTGGAAGACGAGTTGAGATACATTGGCTTAAATGAGGAAGACGTAGCCAGTGCTAAAACTGTGATAATGAAACATTTTGAAACTGGTCAAGGTGTGTTACAATACCTTTACACTCTAATTTTAAAATACGAAAGTTTCTAAATAAATTAATACTTTAATGTAATAACTATCGGCTGTAAATTCGGCAGTCAGGCTTGTGCTCGCATCACAGCCGCTCATGACTAAAGGTCCCGAATTGGTCCCGAAACTAGTCGAGCTTTCTCGATCTAATTACAAGTAAGTTAAACTAGTAGTTATTACATTAAAATACTAATACAATAAAATACCGACTAAACCGTCTTTCAAAAAAAGCGGTCACGTTCACTTTTTATCTTTATCCGAGTAGTAAATGCTTTATATTATTCTCAATTTCGTGTATAATATAGTATATGTCATATATGTGTAAGTATATTTGTTATTTATATATATTTATTCATTTATATATGTAATTTTAGTATGTATGTATATCAATAATTAGTAGTACCGCATTCGAGTATTCTGACACTTCCCTATGGTTGACTGGCAGAGAATGCCTTTAGCATTAAGTCCGCCATGTACACATATTTGTACTAATGAATAAATAAATAAATATAATGCTTATGAAACTTTTAACAATAAATAAATTCTCCTCTTTTTTTCTTATTTGTAGTGAATGAAGGTAAACTAATGATGAAACTGATAAAAGAGACGAGCATAGACAACGCTCAGCTGGCTGCTGTACAGAGAGCAGTGAGAAACGCTTTCCGACGTCATCAAATTAACAACACCACTATTTACCAGGTGTCTACGTATTCTTTAAAAAAAATCTAATTAAAGAGAACTGTGGCGTATGTATATATATATATATATATATATATATATATATATATATATATATATATATATATATATATATATATATATATATATAACAAACCTTTATATGTAACTAAACCTTTTGAATTTCTGTAGGAAAATAAATTATGAATAACAGAGCGCATGCGTGGTTGCGCGCGCAGTATAAATTGAAATTTGTCATTCTTTTTAAATATATAGACGTTTAGATAGATAGATAGATAGATAGATACTCTTTATTGTATCCTCCAAAAGATTACAATAGTAAACTTATTATAAATAATTACAAGAAATAATCACAGTGAGAAAACAATGGGCGGCCTTATTGCTAAGAGCGATCTCTTCCAGGCAACCTTTGGATGGAAAGGAGTCATATGGTAAACATTAGATTAAATATTTTACTTACTCTTTTTCCATAGAAGTAATATGTTTTAGAACAGGCCACCCCTTCATTTCCCAAGGTTGTCATAAGAGACAGCTAAGGAAATAAATATCGAAGGATGGACAGCAGCAACCCTTTTAAAATATCACCAAAGACTAACTGCGGTTACCAATCCGACTGCCAAGTGTGACAGCTACTGGCAAGACCATTCCTTATGGGGGAAGTCTATGTGGGCAGTTAAGAACTGATATGACGATGAAACTCATAAAAAACAGCTTTCTCGATCATTTATAATGTTCAAATGTTTATTTTAATTTCTGTTTTGCACTACTACTGCCCACTCACTACTTCCTATGCCGCTGTTTTTTTTTTATTAGATAAAATGGTATAGTAACCGCGCCTGCGCTAACGGGATACGCTGGCGGGGCACCAGTGAATGGTGATCGATGAGGATGAAAACAGGCCAGTTAGCCCATCATGATGAATTCATCTGGAATTAATCATGATAGTTTCCAGGGTGAACCGCGAGTAGGTCGACCTGGTTGGGTATATTGCTAGCAATGAGATTCTCAGTCTCCATTACTAACAATCCCTTTCCCCCCTATGCCGCTGTGTTAGGTTGACTGGAAGAAATCTCTTTTAGAGATAAGTTTTAAGCCTTTGCTAACATTGTTATTAACTTATTGTTGTTACTGTATGTTTTAGTGCAAAAAAGAATATATATACTTACTTACTTACTTCAACAGTCGTCTTCTGAAAGCTCGGACGAGGTGACACGAGCTGCGAGCCACACGTTGCAACTGTATCATAAAACGAAACCTACAGACAATGAGTGTCATCTAATGACCCAGAAAATACAGGTAAACATCCGTACCTAACCAAATGTACAACACACACACACACACACACACGCACGCACGCACGCACGCACGCACGCACGCACGCACGCACGCACGCACGCACGCACGCACGCACGCACGCACGCACGCACGCACGCACGCACGCACGCACGCACGCACGCACGCACGCACGCACGCACGCACGCACGCACGCGCGCGCACGCACGCACGCACGCGCGCACGCGCGCGCGCACGCGCGCACGCACGCACGCACGCACGCACGCACGCACGCACGCACGCACGCACGCACGCACGCACGCACGCGCGCACGCACGCGCGCACGCACGCGCGCGCGCGCGCGCGCGCGCGCGCGCGCGCGCGCGCGCGCGCGCGCGCGCGCGCGCGCGCACGCGCGCGCGCGCGCGCGCGCGCGCGCGCGCACGCGCGCGCGCGCGCACGCGCGCGCGCGCGCGCGCGCGCGCACGCGCGCGCGCGCGCGCGCGCGCGCGCGCGCGCGCGCACGCACGCACGCGCGCGCGCACGCGCGCGCGCGCGCGCGCACGCACGCGCGCACGCACGCACACACACGCACACACACACACACACACACACACACACACACACACACACACACACACACACACACACACACACACGCACACACACGCACACACACACACACACACACACACACACACACACACACACACACACACACACACACACACACACACACACACACACACACACACACACACACACACACACACACACACACACACACACACACACACACACACACACACACACACACACACACACACACACACACACACACACACACACACACACACACACACACACACACACACACACACACACACACACACACACACACACACACACACACACACACACACACACACACACACACACACACACACACACACACACACACACACACACACACACACACACACACACACACACACACACACACACACACACACACACACACACACACACACACACACACACACACACACACACACACACACACACACACACACACACACACACACACACACACACACACACACACACACACACACACACACACACACACACACACACACACACACACACACACACACACACACTGTGTGTGGTGTGTGTAAAGTCGCGTATATTCAGTGACAGTTTACAGCTATAATTGATGTAATCTGTAACAGTAGTGCTATTTCAGGTGTTTCGTGTGCAATCGTGTCGTGGACAGAGTACGGCTTGTATTTTGGCAGATTTAACAGAGATCCAGCTGAACTTGATACAGTGCATAGAACTGTAACAATATTGAACAATGCAACATTATCTATAAATAAATAAATAAATAAATAAACGAACAAATATCAAATAAATAATCAAATAATAAATAAACAAACAAACAAACAAACATTAAATAATAAATGAACAAACAAACATCAAATAAACAAACAATAAATAAATAAATAAACAAACAAACAAATAAATAAGCCTGTAGCGATTATTTTGGTCTAAAAACTAAACCACTGAAACGATTTTTGATAAATAATTATCTATATTTTTCATCGCGTTAAGTGCCGAGTTTTTAAATTTTTTTTTTAGGCGATCTAAAGACTGCAACACTGCAACTTTTATGCGTCAACAACGCGAAAGTTTTAAATTAACTAAAATTCGATAGTAGGTGCTAACGGGATACGCTCGATAGATGAGAATGAAAAAAGTTAGTCATGATGAATTCATCAGGATTTAACCATGATAGTTTCTAGGGAACCGTGAGGAGGGACCTGGTTGGGTATATTGCTAGCAATGGGATTATCAGTCTCCATTACTAACAGTCCCTCCCCCCCTAAATTCGATAGTTACCTACTTCACTTATACAATAATGGTTACTTACTAGGTTTAGACTGTAACGATACGTCTGATTGTACGCTCTGAAAATAATTAGGTACATTGAAAATAAATACATAATTGTGTTAGTAAACAGATATCAATATAATTTTGATAAACGATTGATTTATATTTATATAGATACAATACCTGTTTTTTTATTAATGAAGGTCTTATTATCTGGTTGATAAACCAATTTTCCTAATCTATACTTATAATAAATCTGTAGGTCAATTCTGTACATGAAATATATTTCCTAAATAACTATCAGGCGGTGATTAGTGATCGATACTGATGCCAGAAATGCAATCAGTAAAATTTTTGTCTGTCTGTCTGTATGTTCGTTATAGAAACATCGGATTTTAACTACAATTATTCTTCATACTCCTGGGCAGGTTATAGTATACTTTTCATCACGCTACGATTAATAGGAGCAGAGCAGTGAAGGGAAATGTTAAAAATGTCCACCCGTGCGACGCCGGGACGGGCCGCTAGTTGTTAAATAAATACTATCATCAACGTCATCATCATATCAGCCCTTAACCATCGATTGCTTAACATAAACCTCCCCCTTGGGGTTTTTGCCAATAGTTGGCAGGCGAATTGGCAACCGCAGTTAGGCTTTAGAGATGTTTTAAGAGGGACGCTGTTGCCCATCCCTCGCCGTCCCTTAGTTGACTTTTACGACACCTACGGGAAAAGAAGGGGTCGCCTATTCTATGCCGGGACCACACGGCCACTATCATCATATTAGCTGTAAACTGTCCACTGAATATAGGCTTTACCCTATTAAAAGTTTTCACACACACACACACACACACACACACACACACACACACACACACACACACACACACACACACACACACACACACACACGTGTGTGTGTGTGTGTGTGTGTGTGTGTGTGTGTGTGTGTGTGTGACCTAACTGAGATCGCCAACCTGCCTGCCAAGCGTGGCAACTACTGGTAAAAACGCTAATATCCGGCATAGAATAGGCGACCCCTTCTTTCCCGGCGTCGCACGGGTGGACATTTTTAACATTTCCCTTCACTGCTCTGCTCCTATTAATCGTAGCGTGATGAAAAGTATACTATAACCTGCCCAGGAGTATGAAGAATAATTGTACCAAATTTTGTTAAAATCCGTCGAGTACTTTTTGTTTCTATAACGAACATACAGACAGACAGACAAAAATTTTACTGATTGCATTTCTGGCATCAGTATCGATCACTAATCACCGCCTGATAGTTATTTAGGAAATATATTTCATGTACAGAATTGACCTCTCTACAGATTTATTATAAGTATAGATTAGGAAAATTGGTTTATCAACCAGATAATAAGACCTTCATTAATAAAAAAACAGGTATTGTATCTATATAAATATAAATCAATCGTTTATCAAAATTATATTGATATCTGTTTACTAACACAATTATGTATTTATTTTCAATGTACCTAATTATTTTCAGAGCGTACAATCAGACGTATCGTTACAGTCTAAACCTAGTAAGTAACCATTATTGTATAAGTGAAGTAGGTAACTATCGAATTTAGGGGGGGGGAGGGACTGTTAGTAATGGAGACTGATAATCCCATTGCTAGCAATATACCCAACCAGGTCGACCTCCTCACGGTTCCCCCTAGAAACTATCATGGTTAAATCCTGATGAATTCATCATGATGGGCTAACTGGCCTGTTTTCATTCTCATCTATCACCCTTCACTGGTGCTCCGCCAGCGTATCCCGTTAGCGCAGGCGGGGTTACCATTCCATATTCACCCATCAAAAAAAACTATCGAATTTTAGTTAATTTAAAACTTTCGCGTTGTTGACGCATAAAAGTTGCAGTGTTGCAGTCTTTAGATTACAGTAACCAGTTACCGTCAGACGGTACAGCCCGTCATTTTTAGTTTAGTTTGCTACTTTCGTGGTAAATAAAAAAAAAAATTTAAAAACACTATCGGCACTTAACGCGATGAAAAATATAGATAATTATTTATCAAAATCGTTTCAGTGGTTTAGTTTTTAGACCAAAATAATCGATTTTGTATTTTATTTACTACAGAAATAAAAGCTTATTTATTTGTTTGTTTGTTTATTTATTTATTTATTGTTTGTTTATTTGATGTTTGTTTGTTCATTTATTATTTAATGTTTGTTTGTTTGTTTGTTTATTTATTATTTGATTGTTTATTTGATATTTGTTCGTTTATTTATTTATTTATTTATTTATAGATAATGTTGCATTGTTCAATATTGTTACAGTTCTATGCACTGTATCGTCAAGTTCCCTAGCTGGATCTCTGTTAAATCTACCAAAATACAAGCCGTACTCTGTCCACGACACGATTGCACTTGGCGAATTGGACGAAACACCTGAAATAGAACACACTGTTACAGATTACACGACTAATTTTGATAGTATAGATGATAAAGATGTTTTATATCATAGAAGAAGTATCAAATTTAATAATGATCCCGAAATACTTAGTAACAATGTGAATAATGAACGCGACTCAGTTCAAGGCGTTGTCGATATAGCTACAGATGCTGACGACGAGTCAGAAGAGTCAATTGAAGAGATATTTGAGGAACAATATGGAAGCGATGTGGAGTATAATTGAAACTTTGTCGAATCCTTTATTATTGTCGTCATATCAGCCATTGCTGAATATAAACCTTGGCCATAGACTGCCAAAAGGTACAGTCCCAAACCACTTGTATCCACTGACTGAATCCTTTGTCTATCTGATAATTATCAAATATGTGACAGCGAACTCTATGACTGTATAAAACCCTGTTTTTATAATAAACATCTTATGAAGTATTGATATATTTGAAAATAAAAACTTTTATTTCTTTTTGGTGGATAATCGATCGAGTCGATTTAAATGAAATCGACAGAGTATAATATGCAACTCTCATAATGATACAATAGTAGCAATATATAACAGACAATGTGACAAAGAAATCAATTTTAAGCTACCACTCCAAAATGGTACAACTTTGTCCGTCCCTTATGGCACGACTGTCTTTCCGTCTGTCCGTTTGTTACATCACTATATCTCAGCAACTAATAATACTGTGATACATATTATTATTATAACATTATCATTACAGCTATATCCGTCCACTGCTGGACAAAAGTCTCCCCCATAATCTACCATAAAGAACGGTCTTGAGCCACCCGCATCCACTGACTCCCTGCAATGCATTTTAGATCATCACTCCATCTAGTTCATACGGGGTCGCCACTCAAGAACTTTTCTTTCCCATTCAGTCTATACCGTTAGCGCAGGCGGAGTCACCATTTCATTTCACCCACTAAAATAATCATCAACATATAGTATCGTATTTATGTGATAACAATATTACAGGGAACAATAAGTTTTTTTTTTTATATACAACTTAGAATGGCAACAAAGCTGACGGCCCACCTGATGGAAAGTGGTAACCGTCGCCTATAGACATGAGCAGTACCATGAACATAACAGAGTACGAGTATATCGTTTCGCCCATGATACCCCCCATGCGTTGCCATTCCTGAGGAGTCAGGTGTTATTCCTCTGTACCCAGTGAATTCACGCCATATCCCACCCTTCAAACCGAAACACAGCCATGCAAACACAACTGCTTCACGCTTGAAACACGAATAGGACAGAGATACCCAAGCAATCGACTTTTGTACAAAGTCTCCCTCTGGTAGACTTTATTTATTTAATCAGATAAATAAAATACAAGAGAATATTAAGTATAATAAAATTTATTATATTCTTTACAATACAGTTCTTATTTTTACAATAGCTGTATGAATTTCACTTACAAATTACAATATATATATATATATATATATATATATATATATATATATATATATATATATATATATATATATATATATATATATATATATATATATATATTTCTTTTTGGTCAATTATATACTTATTTTAAATAATTAAATCATAAAACTTAACAATAAACGTGTGGGATAAAACAGTGCGACCCTATACTAACTTATTTTTAATATTATATACCTGTTTCATTAACTAAACTTTCTTGAGAAGTTGTGACGTATGTTTTGTAAGCAACAATTCTTTATTACATTACTAAAAGGCCTCATATATAAAATTTACCATTATTACATAATCTGATTTAGTATTTTTTCATTTAGTTATTTTACATGAGTAAAATATTTATTTATATCAATTATTGCAAAATAGATTTACATTTAGAAGGTCCAAATATCAAAATGGGAAATATTACTCGTAAACTATTATGAAATAATAAAAAAAAATGTTTAAAGTCCTACATACGTTGGTGCTTTATAAAAAAAATAAGTTCCAGATAAATGCTTTCTATATTTTACCTCTATAACCTGTTCAATTAACTTTGTTTAACATAATTACAACGCTTAAAATTAACAATTAATTGAAACATAATTTACGTACTGGTATAATTAAAATTTTCATGTCCAGGAATTATTATTTAAAAAATAATTATAAAATATTTATAATACGTATAATAGATGTACCTATAGGTAACAGACATAGCTACCGGAGTATTCAAAGTTACTTCATTTACGAGAGCATATTATTAAAATTGCTACCCTAAGTTAGTATCATAGTTCACTTAGAAGTAAGTTAGTAGAAATCACAGCAGATCTCAATTAAAACTACGAAAATAAACTGCTAATTATTTATAAAATAATTTTTATTATGGTTTCTATTATGCGATTTTTTTTTTGTGATTGGCGAAATTTTAATTTGCATTATCCTAAATTCTTATTGTGAAATTAGTCTCTTAGTACAGTCGTAAATGGTAGGAAATTTATTTATTTAGTCTTTATTGTACCATTTAAAGATTTTATATATATATATAAATATATAATATATATATATATATATATATATATATATATATATATATATATATATATATAAATATCCCCATATGAAATACATATAAAGTACAAAAGGCGGTCTTATCGCTAAAGCAATGTCTTCCAGATAACCTTTAGGGAGAGATTAATCTATAATAGATATTACATAATACAATTGTACAAAAATTAAAACATATATATATATATATATATATATATATATATATATATATATATATATATATATATATATATATATATATATATATATATATATATATATATATTTCCATTTACACTTTACTTAAATACCACCCCGGCTTCTTATATTTTTACTACACAAATCAAATTCGTTTTTTGTACTTATTATTTAATAAAAAGGTGTCAAGTTCGTAAATCTAATAATTGTAATATATACCTTAAATGCTTTGACTCTAGACGTATATTTCAATAAAAAAAAAATTACGAAGTAAATGTTTTCATTCTGAAATCACTCGTATTAAATCTTGCACACGTAAGAAAAAAATAACACAACTAGAAGACTAATTTCACAATACAAAATATTCGGAATAATAACGAATTGTAATTATAAAATAAATTGGCTAATAGACTAGTTAAATTATTACTTAACAAATAATAATTATTTAATAAAAATAAAATTGTTCGATAAAAATAATTTATTTACAACAACGTAATTATAAAGAGTATATTTCCTTTTAATTCCTCACCAACAGACGCAGAACGTGAATCAAAAGCTTACATAAAACAATAATATATAATTTAATCTTATCAAAAATATAAATTAAAATTGTTAAACACAAAAATATTGAACAGTGTTTGAGCGATCAATTTTGGAGATCTAAAAATTTTGCTTTGGCATATTCCAAATAGTTTAATATAATACTAAAGTAAAATAAATGGGAGCTCATAACAAAAACAACATAAACATAATAATATAATTATAATACGATCAACTTATTAAAAACAATTATTAAAAACTCACACATCAACTAAATAGTTTAAAGTAATTGAAGATTAAAAAAAAAAACTTTTTTATATTGAAAAATTATAATGAATTTCAAGCACCATGATTAGATTGATCTATCACGCAACTAATCAATAATTCAATCGAGTTCAAACTCGATGTGGTTACATTTATTTATTTATTGTAACAATAAGCAACAGTTCAATATTATCTTAATATTAATGGTAGCATATAAGTGATGTTTGCAAATGCAGTAGAATTTCGACTATCCGGAAATCGATTATCCGAATATTCGATTATCCGGACAAGACAGGACGAATCGGATCGCATACAGTTGTTACAACTGAATCATCAGCAACTTGAGCGTAATGAAAAAATGCGATTCATTACGTCAAAGATTATTAACTAATACTTTCCGAACAAAATTTTAAATTACATAGGTATTATATAATCCATTATCTTAATAGTTCCTATTTTTTTATATCGTATTGTCTAAATGACTTATGTAAAACCCTTTACATAATAAAAAAAAATACATAAAAATTTAATTATTATCTGATTTGATTTTGAAATCGATTATCCGGATTTTCAATTATCCGGATTTTCGATTATCCGGATTTTCAATTATACGGAATATTCCTGTTTTTTATTTGATTCGGATAATCGAGATTCTGCTGGTTTGTTACATAGATTTGTTAGAACATTCTACAATTTGCCTTCTATTAGGCGCGGCTCCAACCTTTAAAAAAGGTTGTGGTCACAGCTACCGAAAAATCAGTCGAGTACGAATCGAAATATGAACTCGTTCATGATTGATATAGTACATTACTGTAAATCTCTGATCGAGATTCTTTTATAGTTCCCCATAAGCAAAGTCGTGGGGCAAACATTAGTAAATTAATAAACCTATAAAATATTAATTTGTTCGCTCTCCAAAGTTACAAAAGTATTAAAAATATTAAGGCATTGGATGGATGATATCATCAGCCTTAGACCTTAACAGACTGAGAAGGTATGACGTCAAAAGTTTATTAGGGTTGTAGTCTTGCTCGTCGTGCCCACAATGAGGGATCCGCGATAGCCTTCTATCACAAAATAGATTGAAGGAAAATAAATACGTTAATTAAAAAAAATGTATAAAAAATATTCTTCCATAATAATGTAATAAAAGGAAATTTTTCTTATCTGTGGTAAAACAAGAAAAAATAGTGGCTCCTGCTTTGGCAAGCTCTGGTATATATTTTTACAAGATTTAACGCAAATATAAAAAAAAAAAGTTACCTTGTAAAACTAGGATATAGATACCGGCAAATAACTTGAACATGGTCTAGCACCACATGACATGCGCAGTAACTGATTTATTTTAAAAAAGTGTACTGCGCAAGATTCTTTAGGGAAGTATCTCTAAATTACAAAAGCTGCTTTCTTAATTCAAACACCCCCACACCCCTCATGGTGAGATTCAACAAAATATACTGGATCTTCCCACTGTTTATGTGTGTTTTTAAATATTTTTTATTCCATAATATATTGATGCATTTTACTTCCCATAACATACTTCCTATAACACTGATCTATTTGATTCGTAAAATAAAACTATATTAAAAACATATAAAATTCCCATTGACCTCTCCTAATATAGAACTTAGTCAGATTTTCACAGAACCTACCTCCTTCCTTCCTTTTTGAAGCTCGCGGATGGGCATATTTAATGGGGGGGGGAGCAAACTCATTCCACCCTAGTATCATGACCTTCACTTTCAGCTATGAGCTATGTATAAGAGTACATTTTACGGTTTGAAATAATTAATTTTAAACTTACGTATTGTTTACACATATTTCAAATACACAATCGAGACTTAACGTGATGCAAAAAGTCCATGAAGTGTTTTTTTTTTCGCCACGTTATGGCCCAATTGCGTATTTGCAATGCATTATGCGACTTTTAAAGAGTCAAACCCTCTGGTAAATAACCTTAAAGTCAATTTGTTCATGTAATTAATGGACCCCCCCCCCTTTATGGTTTTGTTCAAATAATTTACCGCGAAATGAAACAGCGCTTAGCTAGAAGCGTAATTTTTAGAAAATCACGTAAAGCCGTTCCGCGCCAAAAAGCCTCCATCATGTAGACATTTCGAGAGAAAAATGCATTCGTATATGCGCTCATTTCAAATGCTGTTACTGTACATTTTCATATAGTATCCACACCGCCTCCCATCAGTTTGTTGCCGTATTCACTTAATAACTGAAAATAATAAAAAAATATTTTAGTTAAAGCAGTCTTTTGACTAAAAATGTAAATCAAAATTTTTTTTTAATGGATGATAATGGAATGGTAACCCCACCCGCGCTATCGGTATACACCGGCGGGGCACCAGTGAAGGATGATAGGTGAGGATGAAGTAGGTCAGTTAGCCCATCGTGACGAATTCAACAAGAATTGTTCACGATGGTTTCCAGGGGGAGCCACGTGGAGGTCGACCTAATAAGGCATATTGCTAGCAATGGGGCTGTCAAACTCCATTGCTAACAATCCCTTTCCCCCCTGTAAATCTAAATTAATCTTGTACAAGCAATTACTATTAAAGCAACTTTGCTATTAAATTTCAACAGGCATGTAGTAAGGAATCTGCGCAATATACATATACAATACAATTCATTTATTTATAACTTTTAGTTAATTATAGTTTTTTTTAATGGATGGTAATTAAAAGGTAACTCCGCCAGCGCTAACGGTATACGACGGCAGGGCACCAATGAAGAGGTGAGATAATAATAGGTGAGAATGAAAAGGCAGGTTAGTTAGCCCATTCATTCAGCATGATGGTTTCCAGGCAAACCACGTAAAGGTTCGACCTTTACGTGATCCTTATCAGGTTGACCTGATAAGGTATATTGTTAGCAATGAGACTTGGAGTCCGCATTATTAACAATCCCTTCTCCTGCCTTTTCATTCTCGCCTATCATCCCACACTGGTGCCCTGCCAGTATATACCGTTAGCGTAGGCGAGGTTGCCATTTCATTATCATTCTCAAAAAAAAAACAATGTTCGCTAGGTCCTCAATCTATGATATTTTGTGTTGAAATATCAAAAAACGAACATTTCAGGCTTCAACTGAAAACACCTATACTCGAAATCATTCAAAAAAGTTCGTCAACTAAATTCAGAACCTAAAAGTATAACTAATATACAATTATTATTGCGTCACGGAGGTCATTGAACTATAGTTTTTCTTTTAAACTTGTAAGAGCATTACCAGCCCTATAGGCTGCCAAGGGATCTTCGCCAGCGAGGACGGCGTGTGCAGTGTGTGGGTGTTATTTACAGGCCCTAAGGACGGGAGTTCCGCGGTAGGGGAGGAGTTGCGGTTGCCTCGAATACAGCATCGTCGGGGTGTAAAAGTGCATGCCTCCGGCGGCGACTTCTGAATGTGACGTTCTCTCTAAGATTGTACGAATCCGCCTTGACAACTAGCGGGTTCGGGTTGGGTCGCTCGCAGCGAAGCAGCGTCCCGACGCTTCCTAAACTACGGTTACAGCTAGTTTACCTTATAGAGGAAGATGTAGTGGTGTCGGTTGGTGAGCGAGTGTGGACGCTGCGCGCGCAACTCGCGCACGACGCGCGGCACGTCGCAGGCGCCGGCGGCCAGCGCGCGCGCGCACACGTCGGCCGCCAGCAGCGCCGCCGCGCGCCCCGCGCCCGACGCGCACACCGCCACGCACGCGCGCACGCCTGCACACGCACGCACGCACGCACGCACGCACACGTTACCACACTCAACACGGATAGGTAATACGTAGAAATAAGGGGAAGGGATTGTTAGTAATGAAGATTGTTAGTCCCCATTTTTTTTATGGGCGAATGGAATGATAACCCCGCCTGCGCTAACGGGATACGCTGGCGGAGCACCAGTGAAGGGTGATAGATGAGAATGAAAACAGGCCAGTTAGCCCATCATGATGAATTCATCAGGAATTAACCATGATAGTTTCCAGGGGAAACCGCAAGGAGGTCGACCTGGTTGGGTATATTGCTAGCATATAGGATTCTCAGTCTCCATTACTAACAATCCCTTTCCCCCAGTTAGTCCCTATTGCTATCAATGGATTGTTAGTAATGGGGTCAAATAGCACTATTACTAGCAATATACCCTGTCAAGTCGACCTCCACGTGGTTCCCCCTGGAAACCATCGTGGCTAATTCTGGTTGAATTCGTCAGGATGGGCTAACTGACCTGCTTTCATACTCATTTGCCATCTATCACTGGTGTCCCGCCATTGTATACTGATAGCACAGACGGAGTTGCCATACCATTATCACCCATTAAAAAAAATATACTCTATCAGGTCGACCTCCACGTAATTCCCCTTGGAAACTATCATGACCAATTTATCATTGAATTCGTGACATTGGACTGACCGACCTACCTTTTCATCCTCACCTATCACCGCTCACTGGTACTCTGCCAATGTATACCGATAGCGCAGGCAGGGTTACCATGAAATGTCTATATATCAAAATTACAATAATAACATACGATCCCGCTATAGAATGGGCCAACCCTTCCTTTCCCATTGGTGTCGTAATAAGCGACTAAGCGAGCTTATGGTTGAAGGATGGGCAGCAATGTCCCTCTTAAAACATCTCAAAAAGTCTAACTGCGGTTGCCAATCCGTCTGCCAAGCGTGGCAACTACTGCCAAAATTCCCCTTATAGGGAAGACTTATGTCCAGCAGTGGACAATTAACGGCTGAAATAATAATATATACAAAAAAAAGTAGAATGCATAAAAGAAGCAACATTTTTTTCCTTTCATGCGTTTGCCATAGTAACACAAAATGGTCACAATATATAGCAATGTCTATATATTATAGTTACAATATAGCTCAGTAACTTTGACCCAGAATGCATAGAACAGTGTTTCCCAAACTTTTTTGTGTCATGCCCCACTTGAACATTTCTAAAATTTTTATGCCCCCATACATAATTTTTCCCGACAAAGTTTACTTGATGACCCTAATCGCCCAGTTGATATTTTGGTAACGTCAAACGAAATTATACTTAATAAATATTTACAGCATTTTTTATTTACATTTTTTGTTAAATTTGGCATCAATATCTACTAGTAGCATAGTATTTAAATGACCCGGAGCAAGAGGGTTAAAATCGCTTCGAGTCCATTTTTTAATTGCTCCCCCCCCCCCCCCCTTAACTATTAAATTGCCCCCCTGTGGGGCATGAGCCTCACGTTGTAAAACACCGGCATAGAATGTCCTCTACCCAGAATATTTAAACCGAAGAGGGCAGAAAGTAATTTATGTATTTTTCCATCCATAATACGTGGATTTATATAAAATTTTAAGACAATTGGTAAAGCACTAAGAGGTAATATAAAACTTGATTCATTCGCTTTTCCATTTATAATATTCGTTATTATACATACTCTCAACTTCTGAAGCTGCTTTCATCCTACTCAAAGTGCCATTGGTAACGTTTCCCCTCCTCAACTGCTCCTCAGCCTTGGCTGGGGAATACACGTTTAGCCCATTCCCAGAGCTACTGTCCTCGCTTCGGAGCTTCGACAAGTTACTAAATGATGACCGGTTCTGGTCTCCATAGATTACTTCCACACCTGCAGAAGAATGTGATGAAAAGATTTAGATTTATAACAGCAATAAAGTATATAAAAAAAAAAACATGTCAATAAATAATTATATTTACGAACTTTAACATCGAGCTACCTATTTAAAAAAGTTACCAATTTTGTGCTGTCTGCCACTTATACAAAGGTCCTAGGGGGGAGAGAGATTGTTAGTATTGCGAACCTCCCGTGGTCCCCCTGGAAACTATCGTACTGAATTCCATGCCCATCATATTCATCGCGATGGGCTAACTGACCTGCCTTTTCATTCTCACCTATTCACTGCTGCCCCGCTAGCATATACCGTTAGCGCAGACGGGACTACCATTCCATTATAATCCATTAAAAAAAAACCAAAGGCGCTGGGATAAAAAAATTACTAGGACCTTAACTAAACTATTTAAAATCATTTATTCCGTATTCGTCGTATTCCGAATTCGACATACTCCAGATTTGTCGTAATCCAGATTCGTCGTCAAGCGCGTGTCGCTGTTCGACGGCGCGACTGTGAAAACAGTCTAAGAATACAGGAAAGTTCCTCGCAAGTTTCAAACAAAGATGTTCGAGACTTGTCGGGAATTCCCCTGTATTTTTTTCAAATAGATTGGCATTATTAAAGTTACGTTCCTGGAATCTGGTTTATTGACATTCCAAATGTGGGAGTAATTTTCACTACTTCAATTTTTAGTTTGTAAGTCAGAGTCCGAGAGGCCTCCTGAGCTTAGGGACCCGGGAGCAGTCCCCGTCTAGCCTTTCGTTACTGCATCTATGTCTAGTTCTATTAAATAGCTTATTTGCTGGGGGAGAAGAGATTGTTAATAATGGGAATAATGGGATCAGTAGCCTTATTGCTAGCAAAACATCCTGGTCAGGTCGAATAATTTCATCACGATAGACTAACTGACCTGTCTTTTCATTCTCACCTATCATCCCTCACTGGTTAGGTCAGGCGAGGTGACCATTTCATTATCATTCATTAAAAAAAAAAAACATCTTGTTTGCATGCATGAGTGAGTTACATGAGTTCAAAGATCAAAGACTTTCAGGATGAAGTCGGTATACTGCGAATTGTCGCTTCTGATGTAGCATACGCTCATAGGAAAAAATATACTTAATCAAGCTTTCCTAGTCTGTATGGCAGTAAAAATAAATAAGGTTCGAAAATGGAAGACAATATTTTTTTACGCAGCTTAAAATGCAAACAAGCTGACGGCCCACCTGATGGTAAATGGTAACTGTCGCCTATAGACATGCTAACGTTCTGTTACATGGAAAAATTGCTGTGAAACCCCGAGCAGTAGCAATTTTCAATAATAATACTAGTAGAACAAAAAAGAACTATTAGAAAAAACCCGAGATTAAGAACTACATATCTCAGTAGCATCGTCTTAATTAAAACCCACCTTCTTCGTCATATTCTTTGGCAGTCTGTGAGATCTTCATGTAACTCCTCATTTCCGACAAGAAGTCAATAACAGAATCGTAATCATCCGGAACACCTTTAGCAGGCCAGAAGTACCAGAGGTGAGTCACTTCTCTCCAGGTTCTGGTAGCTAAGTTAATCAGTTGGACGCTGGATATAGCGTACTTATCGCGTTGCTCTCGCTTCTTCAGGATTATCTGGTAATCCCCAAAGGTTCTCTTGTTGTCTGATACTTCAGATGGTGGTAAATATTCGTAGCATTTTTCCTGAAATTGGTATTAAAAAAAAACTGTTAATAAATGAGCAAAAGGTTCTAATATAAGATTGAATTAAATATATTCTCCTAATTTAAAATTGATAAGAAATTAAAAGAAAAATTAAAATTTCCTTTTTAATATTTATTGGCTACTAGCTTCTTGCCCACTATTTCGTACCCGTGGATTTTAGAAATAGAAAAGGCAATGAAATATATCACATTTAGATAGTTTGTCTAATTTTTTTTTTCTAATCTCTGCAAAACTAATGCTGTACAGGACTCTTCCAACAAGTTCAGAAGCAAAATTTTATATTTTGTATTGGTTGAAATATCCTCGATCAGACACAGAAACTTGGCAAATTGGAATAATGGGGGGACGAGTGAGCCGTATCTATTCTAGAATTGTCTGATGCCTGTCCTGGATTAAGATTAGAGCGAAGCTTTTAGTTATAGGTAAAGTCAAATATAAGAGTACCTATGGGCCTCTTTTAAGAAGCCAGACCCTGTTAAACAATCCTAAATACTCCAATGTTGGCAATGCTTGGTATGATAACCATTGATTACCTACCACACCATTCTCCATGTACTCAGTGAGCATGACAATGAGCCTTGAGTTCTGTTCCCATATCATCCGCCAGAAGTCCACCACCGTGTTGGACAGAGGCGCCTGGCATGCTATGTAGTAGTTTCGGATGTTGCCCGGACCCTGGAAAACAGTGTGTATAATAACCTTACTACTAACAATTAATATTGTTGAATGAATACTGCTGAACATAGCCTAACTATTTCGATTAAAATGAATCATTAAAATCGGATCAAAAATGTAGACATGTCGAATTTTGCCACAACATCAACTATCTGGAGGGGGAGGGATTGTTATTAATAGGGAGGTTAGACCACAATGCTATCAGTATACCTTAATAGGTCGACCTCCACGCGATTCCCCCTGAAAAGTATCGTGACTAATTTATCGTTGAATTCGTCACGATGGACTAATTGACCTGCCTTTTCATCCTCACTTATCACCTCTCACTGGTACCTCGCCAGTGTATACCGCACAGACGGGGTTGCCATGCCATTTACACTCATTAAAAAAAACACTGTCGGCAGATACCTTGTCTACTCCATAAGAGATTACAGATATAGGTATTTAATTATTTTAATTTAGCAAAATTGATTTTTGAAATTGACAATGGTAATCAGTGGTTACCGTTATGTAATTAGCGTTAATGTACTCCGTGGTAGGGTCGTTCCCGATCCTCTTCAGCGGCACCCTGGTCTCCGGGAGCGGGAGCACGTTGGAGTACCGATTCTTGTCCTCGCACCCTGGCGGCACTTCATCAGGACGGACCGTCACCGACGGGATCTCCGAGAACTCGGCAATTATGGAGTCCACGTCGAGAGCGAAGTTGGCGAGCGCAGCATAGTTCATCGGATGAGATGTGACCTGTGAAGTGAAATAGTTTTTAAAAATCTTTTTTTTTTTTATACAACTTAGAATGGTAAACAAGCTAACGGCCCGCCTAATGGAAAGTGATAACCGTCACCTATAGACATGAGCAGTACCATGGACATAACAAAGTATACTGTTTCGCCTATGACACCCCCCATGCGTTGCCATTCCTGAGAATTCAGATGTTATTTCTCTGTACCCAGTAAATTCACGCCATATCCCACCCTTCAAACCAAAACACAGCCACACAACTGCTTTACGGTTGAACCACCAATGGGACAGAGGTACGCAAGCCATCGACTTGCACAAAGTCTCCCTCTGGTAGATCTCTTAGAATAATATTAGACAGTTATCAGAATTAATATTTTTTTTAATGAATGATAATGGAATAGTAACCCCGCCGGCGCTAACAGTATACGCTGGCAGGGTACCAGTGAGAGATGATAGGTGAGAATAAAAAAGCAGGTCAGTTAGCACATCGTGATGAATACATTTGGAATTCAAGACGATTATTTCCAGGGAGGACCACGTGGAGGTCGACCTGATAAAGTGTATTGCTAGCAATGGGGCTGTCAAACTCCATTAGTATTATCTATTAGGTCGACCTCCACGTGGTTCCCCCTGGAAACCATCGTGAACAATTCTTGTTGAATTCGTCACGATGGGATAACTGACCAGCTTCATCCTCACCTATCATCCTTCACTGGTGTCCCGCCGGTATATATGGAAAACACAAGTGAGATGACTATTCCATTATCACCCATTAAAAAAAAAGTATCATAAAACAAAATTAATTTACCTCGTCATCGTACGCCGGGTTGCCGTAACTCCTCTTGCTGGCGCGCAACCTGTGGTTGCCCTTCCTGTGGCCAACGCTGACACTGTCCAGGCTGTAAGCGTCCAGGGACACCGGCGTACAACGCTGAGCGTACACGCCGCGGCGACCCCGACGCCGCACTATAAGCTGGAAGATGAAAATCATCGGTTAATTTTCAAAATCTTTTTCAATTTAAATAGAATTGAAAAAAATCTTTATCCGTGTGGTCCCGGCATAGAATATAATATATGAATTCACTGGGTACAGAGGAACAACACCTGAGTCCTCAGGAATGGCAACGCATGGGGAATATCATGGGCGAAACAGTATACTCTGTTACGTCCATGGTACTGCTCATGTCTATAGGCGACGGTTACCACTTTCCATCAGGTGGGCCGTCAGCTTGTTTGCCATTCTAAGTTTTATAAAAAAAAAAATATTTATTCAACTCTTTATTGCACCAAAAGCATAAAAATAAACAATGACATATAAACAATTCCAGTGAAATACAATAGTTATGTTGTTAGATAAATAAAGTACATACATAAAGGTACAAAAGGCGGTCTTATCGCTGGAGCTTTTTTTATTTTAGTTTTATTTTTTATACAACTTAGTATGGCAAAGCTGACGACCCAGCTGATGGAAAGTGGTAACCGTCGGCTATGGACATGAGCAGTACCGTGCACATAACAGAGTATACTGTTTCGCCCATGATACTCCCCATGCATTGCCATCCCTGAGGACTCAGGTGTTCTTCCTCTGTACCCGTTTGTACAAGTTTCACAGAATGGCAATAAAATATTGAGAATGTATCCAATAAATAAATGTTATTACCTATGTTTGCCTATATTGTGATTGGTAAGGGAGCGAGTTGGGACATTGTCAAGCTTCCTTAGTTGGTAAATATAAATAAATAAATAGATAAAATATAGCAAAATAATGTTTGCCATAATATTTTATTACGCGATTAGAAACAACTCACTTGATAGAAAACAGTAGTGGTCTAAAGACATAAAAAACACCATGAACATCACAGAATACACTGTGACGCCCATACTACCTATGGGTTGGGGGGAAAAGGGATTGTTAATAATAGGGAATAGCAAACGTATTACTAGCAATATACCCAATCAGGTCGACCTTCTCGCGGTTCCCCTGGAAACCATCGTGGCTGATCTATTAGTGAATGTCATGATGGGCTAACTGACTTGTATCCACTTCACTTATCATCCCTCGCTGGTGCCCCACTAGTGTATATCGATAGCGCTGGCGGGGTTACCATTCCATTATCATCCATTTAAAAAAAACCCGTTTGCTAGCCTATCAGGTCGACCTCCAAGTTCCCCCTGAAAACTATCCTAGTTAATTCTTACGAAATTCATTACGATGGGCCAACTGGGACTTCATCCTCGCCTGTCATCTCTCACTGGTGCCCATTAAAAAAAAACTCATTAGGCATTTTTATGGGTGATAATGGAATGGCAACGCGCTATCAATATACACTGGTGGGGCACCAGTGAGGAATGATAGGTGAAGATGAAGCAGGTAAGATGGCTCATCGTAACAAATTCAATTATAAATCAATCACGACGTTTTTTAGAAGGAACCGCTGGGAGGTCGGCCTGATAGTGTATATAGCTGGCAATGAAGTAACCCCTAAAGTGTTATAAAAATTTTTTTTAAAAAATTAACGATGCTTAACTGACGAAGTTCCTAATTTTTAACTGTTTAAAATTTCAAACCTTTTAGAAGTCGATTAAACATTGTTAATATACATAAGTATTTAATACGTATACAATAGGTATTTTTTTTAAATGGATGATAATGGAATGGTTACCCCGCCCGCGCTATCGATATACACCGGCGGGGCACCAGTGAGGGATGATAGGTGAGGATGATAGAAGTAGGTCAGTTAGCCCATCGTGACGAATTAAACAAGAATTGTTCACGATGGTTTCCAGGGGGAACCACGTGGAGGTCGACCTAATAAGGCATATTGCTAGCAATGGGGCTGTCAAATTCCATTGCTAACAATCCTTTCCCCCCTACAATAGGTATTATTTCTTAAAACTCTAACTGTAAACAAATGAACTTATCATCTTGAGAACGGACGCAGTTAGCGAGTAACTCAGCATCAGTAATAAAACATGCCAGTGTTCATATTTCACTAGACAAAGCAACTTTGTCCGTCTCTCCATTATGCTGTATAAGCACACACACACGTACTAGGAATTAATTTGTTTATATTTTTCCAGGTTTAGTCATTTGATAAAATAGTCATAACAATATTTTATAAATAAATATAATAACCGTGTGGTCCCGGCATAGAATAGGCCATCCGTTCTTTTCCTGTGGCCGTCGTAAGAGGCAACTAAAGGAGAGCGAGATTTGGTTGGTTTTTTTGATGGGTGAAAATGGTATTGTAACCCCGCCTGTGTTAACGGGATACGCTGGCTTCATCCCTTCACTGGTGCTCCACCAGTGAAGGGTGATAGATGAGAATGGAAACAGGCCAGTTAGCCCATCATGATGAATTCATCAGGAATTAACCAGAAATTATAAACGACGGTTACCACTTTCCATTCGCGTGGAACGTCAGCTTGTATGCATTAAAACATATCGCATAGTATCCATAGAAAAAAAAAACAATCAATACCGATTTTAATTCGACATTTTAATTATGAAAAAATTATTAATGACATGTTACGTACCTATTCTTTGTCCGTCTTTACGCAGATTTTTTTATAGCAAACTAGTCTAAGCTGATTGTTTGAAATATTTCCTATTTTTATTTAGTCTTTAAACATCTTTTTATATAGTTTTTAAACATCTTTTTTTTTATAGTTTTTTTTTTTTTTTAATAATAGACTTATCAAATTTAGATAAATTAAAAATTTTAAGTTGATCGCTTGAAATATTTATTTTTCAATTTTTAAGCAACAATAATAAGTTAAATACTTAACACTTGAACTAATAGGAATGTGAGAAAAATAACTGATAACTTTGACCCAGACACTTGTAACTTTAATTTAAGAAGCGCCCTATTATTTGTAGTTCTCAACTGATGCACCGTGTCGAACCACTCGTGTGTCGATGTCGACACATTATTATAAGTCAATATGAAAGTGTTTTTTTTTTTTTTATGGGTGAAAATGGTATGGTAACCCCGCCTGCGCTAACGGTATACGCTTGCGGAGCACCAGTGAAGGGTGATAGGTGAGAATGAAAACAGGCCAGTTAGCCCGTCATGATGAATTCATCAGGAATTAACCATGATAGTTTCCAGGGGGGACCGCGAGGAGGTCGACCTGGTTGGGTATGTTGCTAGCAATGGGATTCTCAGTCCCCATTACTAACAATCCCTTTCCCCCCAAATTCCGACATTGGGTGGCAGTGGAGAAGCGCACAAAAGTTCCGTCATCAGTTTAGCTTTGTTTATAATTTGCGTTGTAAAAATATCCTCCGGGCTGCGATACTAGCGACACCTACATTTTTTTTTAATGGATGATAATGGAATGGCAACTCTACCCGTGCTATCGGTATTCACCGGCGGGACACCAGTGAATGATGATAGGTGAGGATGAAGCAGGTCAGTTAGCCCATCGTGACGAATTCAACAAGAATTGTTCATGTTGGTTTCCAGTGGTAAACACGTGGAGGTCGACCTAATAAAACATATTGCTAGCAATGGGGCAATCAAACTCCATTGCTAACAATCCCTTTCCCCCCAAATTCCAACATTGGTGGCAGTGGAAAAGCGCACAAAAGTTCCGTCATCAGCTTGGCTTTGTTTATAATTTGCATTGTAAAAACATCCTCCGGGCCGCGATACTAGCGACACCTACATTCGAAACGATAACCGTGCACGGCACAGGAAAGTGCCGGATTTGTTTAAATTTATATTTGCCTCCGATGTGCTGGAGTCTCGCCGGATGACCACAGAGTGTTTGTGTTCAGAGATTTAGATTCTAATGTTATTTATAGTTAAATTAACTCGTTTTAATATTATATTCTTTTAATTATACTTCAATGTTGCATCCGAAGAGATTTAAGTATACCATGTAGTCCGTTGTCTTATATACCGCATCAGCACACAGTTTAGATTTTATGGTATTTTTATAAAGAAAATACAAGATATTAAGAAAAAGTAAAATAAAAAGGAGTTATACTGACTTAACATCCGGGGCGATGCCATCCCTAGTTCTCATTCGTGTTTTGTGTCCCGCATCAACTACACGGTCTTAAAATAAATTATTAAAATTAGGATAGTTACACGTTTTATAAGTTATTATACTATCGTTTTACTCATAATAGGAAAAAATAAACATAAGCAATTTAAAAGTGCCGATGTGTTAATGCGTAAATTAAGAAAATTAGAAAGAGGAAACGATCGCGACGTCAATATTCACCGGGCAATGATGAAAATAACAATGGATTGGATGGTGAGTTTTATGACCTTATTGCTCCTTTTATCCATTATATTTCTGTCTGTATGCATGGATTTCATATCATGATAAGCTGTTAGGTACTTGGTATTTTCTAACCAGTTACCCAATAATTCATCTACCCACGTAGTAAAAATATATCTACGTACTTGTAAATGGAATTTTATTCCTCTTTAAATTACTCGAATACGTAAATTATGGGCATACATAAAACATTCTAAATAATAATGAATGATAAATAAAAGTATTTATAAAATTATGCACTACAAATTGATGCTGACTACGCACAATCATATACCTAATGAAATTTTAAATCATTCCATACTGATCATTCCTCAGTGGTGGCACGAGATGTCATCCGGAAATGACTATTATTTTTATGATTACATATACTGTGCTCTACTTTCATATTTCCTCAGTGGTGGTACGAGATGCCATCCGGAAATATATTTACTGACTTTCCTAATGTGGTGATACGAGATATCATCCCGAAAGTTAATAAAACAGGCTATGACTACCTTTGGCAAGATCTTCAGTATTGCTTTTATAACGCCTCAGAAACCGGAGTTGGAGACTCAAACCTCCCACAGACAGATAATGAGTATGAATGTCCTTTAGAAGAGTACTTGTCCAAGGACGAGGATGATTATACCGAATGAATTAAATCGGTGGTAATAGCCCCTGAAGTCACTTTATCAGATG